AAATCCCTAAACGCAGTTCATGTAAAGTCAATTGACTACGCTCAATCAAATCTACTTTATTAAAGTTTCAAATGAATTGTTATTCATTGGATGTATCTATCGTAAAGACAGACAAATAAGACTGATTGGTGAAAAAGTAGAGAGAATTTCAGTGCTGCACCACTATGTGGCAACAAATTTTGCATGTACACATATTTTATTATACAGAACAGAACATATAAGCAAATACAAGCGCATGGTCATTAAACAAGGAAAGAAAAAGCATTTATACATATAATTGGTACGCATGGAAGAAAATAAATATAATCTATGAAATATTTCCTTACCATAATTATATTGCGTGAGAATGTAACAAACAAACAATATATACACACAAGTTACATGGGGAAAAATAAATAAAATAAATACTGATTGAGGACGATATTAATATCATTACAATAGTGAATCCCTTAATTTGAAAGCCTTGAAACAATACAGAGCCATTTTTTAAAATTTTCTTATTACTGCTTTACATGAATGAAATTTACTTATAATAATATTTGTGTGGGTATAATAATACCTGGATATTAAGCTACAGAGTGTACATATTCGTTCATGACGCTGTATATTGTAATGGCAGCCGACATCAATATTACGTAATTTTATGAGCAGAGAGACATATTTTAGCCATTGCATTTCTAAAATGTGTATTTTATAATAGACCGATATCAATATGACTGCTCAAACGTATTATTTTATCTTCCGGAATACATATTAAAAACTAGACATCTGTAACGAAGTTCTCCAATTTCTTATTATCAAACTCTAAGCCTGCAGCGTAAGACTGGAACAAACACATTTGTATTTATATCGCTCACACATTAATGAAAATATAATTAAAAGAGTTTATTCTAACTTCTCAATTTTTTTCATAAATATGCGTTATTCTTTCTATTCTGACAACAACAATAATATATATAAGACAATTAAGACAGAATGGTGTAAGTATGAAAGATCGTTTCAGACAGGCAGTTATGTGATCAAATTTCCAGTGTGATTCCCTTAAGAGATACTTGAAATTTAACTACATGTACTTATATTTTTATTTGGAATGAGACATACAAATGTAATTATGATACAACTTTGCGTTATAATTCACGAAGGTTTTAGCGTAACTGATTAATTACTAGCATTTAAAAGACAGATCAACAAATATCACAGTAGCACATATTTTATTTCGATTATGAACACCTGTACACAGCAAGTCTGAAGTTTAAATGATGATTAATGTTCACCCTATTCTCCAATCAGTCAGTGGCAATGATTTTTTACATTATTTTACACATGAAAAAAGGCGCAGGTTAACAAACTTGTGCGTAAAAAAAAATAGAAAAATAAAAAACCCATAAAAATGGGGACAAAATAAAAATACATGTATTTTTGAAAACCTACGCAACAAAATGCAAGGGAAGTCACTCGTCCAGACATGTGTATAATTGACAAGTGGATACTTGACCATGTAATATGGCATTATTGGACTCAATCATGAGGTTTTGTAAATAAAAGTTCAAATATGTGATATATATTAATATTGTTTTGAATTGTATTTACAAATCTACATAGAGGATATTGAATGAGTGTAAGTTCAATACTGAATTTATTGCACGAGTTGAATAAAATTATATTATGCGAGCCTCTTTTTTGCTTGTATTTTGAATAAGAACCATTCCAAATTATTGGTAAAAGAGAAATATGCTGGTATATTTCCTCACATGCATTAAACTAAAGATGAAAAATTAAAAAAATCATTTAAAAAAGCAACATAATATTTTATTCTGCAATATTTTATTCTTTTATGTACACGTTTCATATATATTTTTAAAAACCGAAACATTTGAGCCGTGTCACGACAAAACCAACATAATGGTTTTGCGACCAGCATGGATCCAGACCAGCCTGCGCATCCGCGCAGTCTGATCAGGATACATGCTGTTCGCTATCAGTTCCTATACTTCTTATAGGGTTGGTAAGCGAACAGCATGGATCCTGATCAGACTGCGCAGATGCGCAGGCTGGTCTGGATCCATGCTGGTCGCAAACCCGTTACGTTGGTTTTGTCGTGACGCGGCTCATTTTATGTTACAATTCTTTTGACAATCAAGAAATAACATAATTTTACTATTTTTAAATTTTATAAAAAATATGATATAAGATTTAGCTTTTTACCATATAAATAGTCCATTTATAAATGATAATATTTTAAACTGACAGTTATAATATTATTGCGGACAGTGAATACAAAAGTTTGTTTTTACACACGGAAAACTGGTTTGTGTGTGTTTTCCACCTAACTAAGATTTCGTGTGCATCTTATAAATTATTTGTTATGACTTTGATACAAATGTAAGTTATAAAGTACTCGGAATTGATGAGATACATATCTTGTATTTTATGTATTGACTGTCTTGCACTAGATGAAGGATCGCCATGTTCATCATGTGATGTGAAAGAAGAAGAAACCACGCTGTACAAGCATAGCTCGGTGTAAGAGATTCCATAATGGTACGCGAGAGTTCGATCACTAGTTACGACACTGGATGAAATAATGAAAAATAAAACCAACTCGCTGCAAGTTGTTTCTCAACTTATATAAATCTCATATAAAAAGTTACGTGTAATTTTCAAACTTTATTTCGTAACAGTAGATTTCAAAACAACACAACACAAAATTTATGATAGATAATTAAATGAACATTTTAATTACTACGCCCATCGTTCATATAGACATGATATCGTTATGTTATTAATTGTTTGTGGTATATTTGCCATATGAGCCGCGTCACGACAAAACCAACATAATGGGTTTGCGACCAGCATGGATCCAGACCAGCCTGCGCATCCGCGCAGTCTGATCAGGATCCATGCTGTTCGCTATCAGTTTCTCTATTTGTTATAGGGTTTGTAAGCTGGATCCATGCTGGTCGCAAACGCACTATGTTGGTTTTGTCGTGACGCGGCTCATATATAGTTATCTCATTTAAGCTCTAAATCTACGTGTTCTTATTTCTTCCTTTTTCATTTACAGCAAGCCACAGCGAATGAGAATAAATTATGATGTATGTGATGACAAGCGGTGTATAAGATATTCCTTTAACATAAAATGTCCGCTGTATTATGGTGGTTGATTATGAAGGTAAGTTTCTGAGTGACAGACCTTGTTGTTTAACGTTCTGCCCGCAGGCTGATATATATAATACACTTTAAGGGTCGACCAAACAGTCGTAATAACTTCTTCAAATGTTTTCTATTATGAATTTGAAACAAACTAGAATATAATAGCATAATTGGCATTTTATATTTCAATAATATACTAATACGCAACAATGCCACTTATTTTACTGGTATTATTTCCCTTGATCATGAAGACGCGTGCTTAAATTACCTCCCTTTGCATGGCTTTAAGTAATGGAAGTATACATATTTAAATAGAACTGAAATCTCCCAGTTTTACAATGAAGGACAGAAAAGTGTTTGTCCAGATCCATTGTTTGAATATTTTATTTCAGAATTGCCTAATTGTATACGGAAAGTATGATCTTTATCTTAAAAAAAGAAAGTTTTGGTCAAAAATAAAAACATTTTGTTTATAGTTGTCTTTCATTATCTAGCCTATACTTAAAGTAAAGAATGTAACTCTATCTCCATGTGTCTATCCCACATATGTACTTTTTTACATGATTATTGTAATGTCTGTTGTTACAAATGTTACCTTGACGATTTTTAAAAAAAGTTTTGAATATTATATATTGATAAAATATATACACATTGTATGCGTTCTTAATTAAAAATATTAAATTACAGAATGTTATGTTTTAATACATTTTAAAATACACACAGCAAGTTTCAAGTTTAAGCTTTGTTGAAAAGAAAATAAACACGATATCTTTACCTACATATTTAGTTGGTTGTTTTTGAATCTCATATTTTTAAGGCGTTAGCTTTGTTCTTCTGCCCGTTCGTCCGTTCGTTCTTTCGGTGTGTTTGTTTGGGAGATGTGTCATATCGACACTGTAAAATTTGGACGACAACATTTCAGCTTTACTGATGGCGGAAGACCGCCAATAACCCTTCGTGTGCTATTTAATGCATGCGCGGGGCATCTCAATAAAGTCACCACCTTCTCTAAGCTTACTAGATAATTATCTTCTTCACATGAAAGAATATCAAGTCCAGAGTCGGGATTAGCACTCACAACGGTTGTAGGGGCAGGTGGTTTGAAGAAAGCGACCTTAACCACTGAGCCACGGAGGCAGTTACACCGTACAGTCACTTCAGAAATAAAAATGAACGTGCATACATATCCCATTTCTTAAAAAAATGTTTTTAACGAATCGCTGACATTCTTTTTAACAATCTTAATAATTATGGTTAAAAACAAAACGTTTGGCATCTTTTACTATTATGAATAATCACACATTGTAAATAAACGTGTGATTTTGAAGGTAAAAATGCTGTCGTTGTGCTTTGTTGTCGTAAATTATACCTTAAATTATAATTTATTTGGTCTCATCGAAAGGCATTATTATGAACAAGTATATATTTCTAACTGGTCGTCTTCTCGGGCCATATTATTATTATGCTAATATCCAGAAATGGTAAAAGAAGTAACATTACAGCAGCCAAAGTTTTTCTCCTTATCTGTTGTGTCATACATAATTTCAACTTTTGCAAATTGTCTATTTTAAATATATATATGTATGTTGTTGTTTGGCTGCTGTTGTTGTTGTTGTTGTTATTGTTTTGTTTTTGCTGTTTGGCATTTGTATAAAGCCACCTTTATGTACATGTGCATCGTATGTAATCGGTGATATAAGTGCAACAAAACGCAATATTCTTAACAATAACCAATCATATAAAAGAAACTATTGTCCTAAAACCTGACAATATGTCCATCTGGTCTGTTAATGTTTTATCTTTGTGACAGCCCTTCATACTAAAACAGACATAAGATAACTTAACGTGCAAAATTATGCACGTAAAGAGAACGTTTTACGTTTGATCGTCGTTACGTAATGACGGATTACCAGCAAGTTTGCCTTTCTTTGTCGCAAAATGGATTTGAAAAGTGAACAAACATGTTGATCTATGTGCCAAAAAAATAAAAACAAAAAAAATAGTTAACAAAAAAAAATACTGTAAATGAAAAAGCTTCTACTTAAGACTACATTTGGACCGACCAGGTTGCAATAGGAAGACTATTAATAGGGCTTTAAATACATGCTTAAATGCAAATTTGGAGATGTAAAGCGATTAATTACGTAACATTTGCATGGTGAAAGTAATTTCTAATGTCTTAAATTGTGAAATACACTTAACGGAAATAGGTCATGTTGTTTTTTGAGATGTTACCGTAAAACAAGAGCAGATTAATTTTTAACTTAATTGGACACTTTGTTAGCGGAACGTTTTCATATAAGGTAAGATACAACTTTGTATTTTGATACTTTATTTTTGTTTTGTCTTGAACATACAACTGTAATATGTCATAGCAGGAACATTCTTAAAATATTATTATTATATCCAAACATTTTTTAAGTAAATAAAACAAAACTATTTAATATATTTATTATTATAGTAATACGGCAATAAACATCAAAAGGTTAAATTAACACAAAAAAACCCAGATTATTTGAATTTTATTATATATCTCTCGTTGCTTATCACGTGATGTATATAATAGATATAATAGATAATATTGATGTGACATATAATAATCAATTATTACTTAAAAGTATCGTATAGAGTGAACACATGATACTGCATTACATAAGTATAAGAAAATGGTTTTATTTTGGTTGGAATTTTCTACACTGTAAATTCACCATAAATACGGTAATATAAATATATCTCCTCCGCCATTTACAATCCGTCACCCCCATTTATCCTCCATTACACGCCAATTATCCTCCATCTCAGCCATTTAGCCTCCGTCACCGACATCTATCCTCCATGTTCGCCATTTACCCACTGTAACACGCCATTTACCCTCCGTAACACGCCATTTTCCCTCCGTTACACACATTTACCGCCGTCTTTTAAATTTACCCTCCGTCGCCGACATATATCCTCTTTCCTAACCATTTACCCTTCATCAACGACATCTATCCCCACCCCTTCCCCGCAATTTACCCTCTGTCACCTCTATTTATCCTCCTTCCCCGCCATTTATCCACCCACTCAGCTCTCTTTATTCGCTTAAATAAAGTCATTTGTGTTGATAACTTGACAGCAGTTTACTTGATTTTTACTGAAGGTTTTGTTTAAAAAAAAACGCCAATTGTCACAAGTACAAGCACTATTCTCATACAATAATAGGTACATAATAAAATTAACATTTTGTCGAATTGGTTAACATGACAGACCGAAATATCTAAACAGTGCTTAAGATATTACGGCATATTCTAAAAATCAAAATTACATAATATACTATGGGCTGTATTCTGGGCATTAAATAAAATTAACCCTTGTTTTTATTATATAGAACATAAATCAGTTTTTAACCTTTAGCTTGCTGGCGGTAACAAAGTCTACACATGCAACCGGTGCTTACCAAGGTCAGCCAGCACATCCGTGGCGTGCCGTCTGATCATGGAACTCTTCAGTCAGACTTTACCCTTAAAATGATTAACGGGTGTCTCTAGATTGAAAGATAGTCAAGTTCATTTATGATATTAAACGTGGTAAGAACTAATATTTTTGTACTTTTCTAAATATTGATCTTAAAATTGTTACAAAAGTTATAGGCGAAACAGGTAATAAAAATAAACATCATTTACTCCCGTGTACAAATGTAAATTGTTTTTCTTTTCTTTTTTTTTTCACGATTTGTTTGTTGACGGCATTACAAGTTACTTAATATTGTGATTAATATTAATTTCGTAGAAAAAAGTTTTATATAAGCCGCATCTATTCAATCAGTGTCACGTGGTGTCACGGAAAAGTACATAAATAAGTTTAACCTTTGAGTAACACCTTGTAAATAATAAATACATGTGAAATAAAGATGATGAATAAATTATTTATTTAGAAGAGATAAATATGTAATTTATAAAGAGACCGAATCTTTACAAATGTCGCGCAAGAAGCGGTTGACAGGTTTACAATTCGTTGACCTAGGTTGACAATTTCGCCTGCTTTATGGGTAAAGTAGGTACAGTAACTGCATTCATTCATTTTCCCCAGCACTGTCAAATTTGTGACATACAAAATGACATATTGTTGGGAAAGTAAAGTAGGTTTTTCAGGATATCCGTTTGTTTTATAATTAGAGAAGTTGAAATATTGTATCTGTTAACATTGTTTTGTTATTTATTTTAGTATTTAAGCAATGTCAAAATGTTTTATGCTGAATAAAATTTTGTATTCGTATTCGTTGAAAAATAAAGAAGAAAAATGACAGCTTTTATGGACCCAACTGTAAAACAAGAAATGTACTTGTTAAGATTTATTCAACCCCCAAAAAATACTTCAGTTACAAAAGACATTCAAGACCATCTTACAATCTACAAAATAATGCTATTTTACACAATTATGCACTTATTTATCCATATTCGGTCTATAACACTACCTTTGCTATAGATGAAATATTTATAAAACATTTTGTCCATAAAAAAACAATATCATTTAATTATTTATCAATCTTTATTGCAATAGGATTAACAAGAAAACAAAACATTTTATATTATGCATATAACTGTAGAAGACCCGCTTCAAGGATGCATAGATAACAGTAATCAAAACAAAATTAGATTAGAAACAGAACAACATTTTGGTAAAACAGGATAAATGAAATGCGGTTAAAGGGACGTAAATTATTATCTTATCGCCAAACTCCTCGCAGCGGTTACTTCCCTTCATAAGTACGCCCCAAGAAGACTCTACGCCAGATATCCGGATTTTACTAGTTAACTGCTAAGCTATGTATGAAAGCATGTTATTATCTGGAAAAAAGTATAATCAAAGCAGGAAAAGAAAAAGAATAATTACAGGTCTCACAAGGAAGTATCAACGTTATAACATATTATCATGTTGAAAACAACAAATAATGGGGTAGATTCTAAATAGTCTCTGGCTGTAAAATTCTTAAAACTTTTAAAACGTAGAATAAAAAGATATACACTGCATTAAAACCCTGCAAAATATCAAAAATACTTTTTTTACAAAATATATGCCATAGCAAATATCTAAGACAAAAATAAAATGCAATATTTTTCACAATCACACAAGCATAGATATTATATTTAGAATAGTAAAAAGAAAGTTTTAGTTATGAATTATGCATGTTTTATGATTCAATTAATTGTGTGTAGATAGTTTTATACTTCACTTTTAATTGTATATGATACTAGACATGTTAAAAATGTTTTTTTAATCACATACAACATTTTGTTTCCTGTGTATATGTGAAATGTATGATAACAAATCATTTTCATCAGTAAATTTTCTGTCTATATGCTAACCCGAACATTCATTAATATAATCTAATCTGTCAGGGGAGATATATCAGTTTTTATCACAGTTAAACATGTGACGTCATAAAACTGACGTTAATAAACGCGTGTCGTGTTGATCTTCCAATAGCACAAATATCAATCGATTCAAACCATTCTTATGTGACGTAAACCCAAAGAACTCAACATTTTCCAGAACGTTTTGACATCGGAAAAATGTAACAGCCGTCTGCTACCAGGACAATACGCTATTAAGCGCTGATTATTATTATTAAATTCAGTGTGAAAGTCCGGTAAGAAATATAAAGCACTTCAGTAACTAGAACGGGCAGAAAACCAGCTCTGCCTTTGTTTGCTTTCCACATTCAACTTCGTCGTACACTGTTTTTTTTTTTCAATTTCAATAACGAGTCCTATTTGCATCAGGATGTTCCGGGGAAGTCGCAACCTTCCTTTTTCTCAGTCGTCGTATCCGCCGGCGGTTATACAATATGATGATAATCAACGGTAATGAGATCACGGGACTAACTGCCAGCACTATTCCGACGGCAAGAACTTCCGGGTCGTCATTTGCTGTTGCATACACGCATAATAATACACCTTTAAAAGAAAAAGAAGAAAAAAAAAATGTTTAGAGACACACCGAGAAATGATTTTTCGCACGCGAACTATTAAGGCGAAATTATTAATATTTTTATTTCTGACTTTGACTTTAAAGGCACAATATATCTCAGAAACGTACAAATTTGCTCTTTAGAAAGAGCAGACATGAATTTTATAACGTTAAAATAATAGTTTTAGAGAAGGTTAGATACTTATTACCTGAAGAAATTAGCGCAACATGTGAAATTATTTGTCATTTTAATTGTGGCAAAATGTAAACAAAGTCGTAATTTGATTTCCATACAAATTACTAAATCACAAAAGTAACCATTCCTGAGGCATGATGTGCCTTTAACTTCTGTTCATTTTACAATGGTAAGCACGATCCAAATAAACGGATAAAAACAAATGACAAACTAATTGATAATGAAATTTAGGCACTTGATCACTTTTTCTTAATGACTTACTCGATTTTCTGGAATCTAAATGTAATGGCGGAATTTCTTTAGAATGCCAAATTGAGAATATTGATAGTTTTTTAAGTATATTAGTGTTACTTTTTGCAGATGACACGGTTCTTATTTCAAAAACCCCGCAAGAATTCCAAAAATGTTTAAATGATTTTAACGATTATTGTCAAAGATGGGAATTAAAAATAAATACTAGCAAAACCAAAGTTATTTTCTTTGGCTCAAATACACGTGGGGTACGCAATATGTCATTTACGCTTAACGGAAATGCTCTGCAAATAATCGATAGTTATAAATACTTAGGCGTTATGTTTAGTCCTAATGGGAAATTTAAGAAAGCAAGAGATCATTTAATTACACAAGCTAGAAAAGCGATGCACCTTTTGTACAAACGAATTAATAACCTTAAATTTGTTTACCTCTTGATTTACAACTCAAACTATTCGATAACACCATTGTTCCAATTTTGTTATTTTCATGCGAAATATGGGGAATAGAAAATACTCAAGACATCGAAAAAGTACATATTGAATTTTTGCGTAAAATAACAAATTGCAGAAAAAGTACTCCTGCGTACATGCTCTATGGCGAATTAGGTAGATATCCGCTTGAAATTGTTATCAAAACACGTATTATTAAATTTTGGAAAAATTTAGTGCAAGTTCATCAATATAAATACTCAAATTTTATCTACAAATTTATGTTAAATAGTGATTACACATTCAAATGGCTTGATTATGTTAAATCTACCCTTGATCTAACCGGTCACAGTGAAATATTCCTAAATCAAAATTCTTCGAACTTATGTAACGTTCATTTGTTAATTAAACAAACACTGATTGATCAATTTATTACCGACTGATTTAGTAGAATGCAACTATCAAATAAAGGCAAACTCTATAACTTGTTTAAATATCAGTTTGAGCGTGAAGACTATTTGAACATCATTGCCAAAACACTTATACTTACCTATTCTCAAGTTTAGGACTGCAAATCATAAATTCCCTGTTGAAACTGGCCGTTGGTCTAATATCCCATATGTTAATAGAAAATGTCCACTATGCCAAAATGACTTAGGTGATGAATTCCATTATTTGATGGTTTGTAATTATTTCACCGAAAAAAAGAAAGCAGCTTATTCCCAAATTATTTTCACAGATATCCAAATATCATTAAATACCAAGAACTTCTTAAAAGTAGTAACAGCGAAATCCTAAAAAATCTTAGTATAATTTATAGCGCACATCATGAACACATTTACACGTTAGTTTTTACTTTTTGAAATAGTATTTTACTCCGTCAATGACATTCCATAGTAACACTAATGAATGACGTAAATAAGTTTTACACGCTTTCCACGTGCTCCACTTTATCTCCTATAGAAATTAGACAGTTAAATATCGCTGTCCCCATACTTAAATTTATATTAAGTTTTAAGGTTAAAAAAAAATGTTTCTTGTTGTATTACGTGTACTAATTTTCGCTTGATTATCTATCATACTTGACGTAAAACATGTAATTGTTTTCTATATTGATACCCACGCATGTATTTATTTACTAGATTATTGTAATGTCTGTTGTTACAAATGTAACCTTGACGAAATAAAAGAATGTTGTATTGTTAAGTTGTCATGTTCGATGACATCTTTATCAATTGATAACAATTTTAACGTCTATTGGCTGTCGACGTTATTATTTATAAAGATTTTTGACAGGTTATATGATCCTATATAAGCGGTCGCTCAACAGGTTGTTGGACTGTGAATAGGGTGACCCGAGTTCGATTCCCGGACGGTACAGGCCACTTTCGTTGTGATTGATCATGATCTACTCTGGCATGTACAGAAGTTTCAGTTCCTTGCGAAAGTAAAGTGAAGGCAACTAGTACTGGTAAACTGCTTGACAGCTTGCCAAGGAACGGCGCGGTGTCTTACTGTGCTATAGTAAATTCAATGTGGCTTACAGCCGTAATCCGGAGTGAAAACTACCAAAACCACCACACCACAGCCGTTTATATACGGCCAAATAGCCTGTCAGAAATATTTATAACGAATTTATAAAACATCAAGCATCTTTTTAGAGGCAAAAAAAAAAAAATAGTTTTCATCATAAATTTACAGCACCCGTGTATATAAACTAAACTATATATTATATATAGTAAACGTTACGATTATCCAATGAAAAGCGACGTTACAAATGTGCAGTATTACAAATAGTTGAAACATGCGACGCCGCTCTGAAGATAAACAGTTTCTATCTGACCCTCTCTAAACTGTTTAATTTAATTCTTTTTATAAATCATGGGACAAACTTGTTTACTTTAGTCGTGATAAGATGAAAGAATTGAAATTCTGATAAAAGTTAAATAAACAGAAAATCACATAATGATCTTTCCTCTAGAATATAAGTGTGATAGCTGTAGTCGAAACAGTGTTAAACTTTATAACCAGCTAGGGTTAGTGAGAGATGTTGCACTGATATAAATTATCTCTCATCGAGCCGATTCTGCAATTTTCATATTATTTTTTCATTGATTCCGAACTAATGTTAAGTAGTATAAGCTCACATAAGGTAACTAAAATCATTCTTTAAAGGCCCATTATGCCCATGAAATTATTTCATTTGTAATAATAATTATCGGAAACATGCTATTTTTGATGTCTTGTTAAAGGTTCTAAAACTTTTTTACTGGCATATAACCTAAATCATATTTTGCTTTTGTTACATTTTTGCAATTAGTGTACAGTTGATTTATTACTTTGAATGGAAGTCAAAGTACTACTTTATTTACATTTTGCTTTTTAATGACATTTAATTGCACATTTAATGCTACTTTTTTAAGGTAACAAGCATCTTACGTGCTTAAAACCATGATCGATTTACAGTTTTTAAAACAAAATATAAAAAGAAAACACACACACAAAAGAAAACTTACCGTGGAGTGTTCAGCTTTAATTATCTTTTATAAATAATACTGTAATATGTTTACAAGTACGAGCAGAGCCGACAGATATAAATGTTTGACTGACCTATTTTTAACGTAAAGAAAGACAGTTGTTTAACCTCTGTAGAGCAATCACCTTCCGGGAGGCAAAGATTTCAGTCGCTTCCCAGAGGTGTTGCTCTAAAAATATTAATTCTAATTTGAAGTCTTACTTTTGAGAAAAGTAAGACTGTTGTAAAGTATGTTAGCTGGCAGTTGCTCTACATAGAACTCAATAGAATTTTTACTTAAGTCTACCATACCTGTGGGTAAAGCTAGGAAAAACAAGATGGCCACAGCGATTGTGGTCAAGCACCCACTTAAACAGCAAATCTGTAAGTCCTCCACTTCCTCTTCATCTATAATGTAAATAAAGTCAGTGTTTATAATTGAGCCGCGTCATGACAAAACCAACATAATGCGTTTGCGACCAGCATGGATCCAGACCAGCCTGCGCATCCGCGCAGTCTGATCAGGATCCATGCTGTTCGCTATCAGTTTCACTACTTGTTATAGGGTTTGTTAGCGAACAGCATGGATCCTGATCAGAATGCGCGGATGCGCAGGCTGCTCTGGATCCATGCTGGTCGCAAACGCATTATGTTGGTTTTGTCGTGACGCGGCTCAAATATACAATGTTTGTCGATGTCGTCGTGGGATATATTGATATACAATGTATAATATTGATAATCTATTAATAAACAATTGATATGAATATGCATACGTATACCTAATATACCACGTGTCAAATAATTATAACAAGAGGATATTTAACTGTTATATACATACCAAAATAACTGTTATACATACCAAATTAACTGTTATAAATATCAAATTCACTGTTATAAATAGCAAAATACATGGAAATTATATTATGTTAGAAATATATTGTATTCACACAGGCCAGCTGCTAGTTTTCAACATTGTAAAATTGTTTTGAAAACGCTTCATTCGTGTCATATATAAACTGCTTATATCTTCCAATTAACAATGGCAACATCTCATCCTAGCTGCCCTCGACATTCTTAAATTTAAACGCTGGTATCACCGAAATAATAAATAATAATTAACCGTATAAACCTAATTTTGCAAAAAAGGATGCAAATTATTGCGTGTACAAAACTTACTTTGTCAGAGTTTCTAAAAAAGAAAATTGACACCATAATTCGCATTTAAAAGGATAAAATATGTTTCAATATGAACACATTACTTGTTATGCAATTTAATTTTTGTTTCCTGCATGGTGTCTACAGGGACATTATTCTGAGATATAAAAAAATGAAAACTCATGAATCAGTCTCTATTTATGAAACGGAAGCTAATTAGAATGAAGTATTTGTTCTCCGCGTGAAACAAAGTATGTGTTAATACAACACGTGTTTACGCGTGTTCTGTTCATTGTTTACATTATAGCTAATTGAAGCCTGGTAGAAACCTGTTATATTTTAATACAAAACACTCGCTTTTTGTTCTTTATTGTTTATAAATGATAGATCTCTTCTTATAAACTGTTAAACACACTATAATATTTATATACATTGTTTTTGTAATGATTACAATATTGATAAGCCGCTTACAACGATAAGAGAATTGGAGGAATTAAAATAAATGCTATACTTGAAGAGCGTCAATGACGAATTGACCCCATCCTGTCTTATTTCAAGTACATTTATAAGATAGCCTAGAATTCTGTAGTATTTGTATCAAACATAATCAAATTATGAGCCGCGTCACGACAAAACCAACATAGTCCGCGCAGTCTGATCAGGATCCATGCTGTTCGCTATCGGTTTTTCTACTTGTTATAGAGTTTGTAAGCGAACTGCATGGATCCTGATCAGACTGCGCGGATGCGCAGGCTGGTCTGGATCCATGCTGGTCGCAAACCCATTATGTTGGTTTTGTCGTGACGTGGCTCATTTTACGTATTGTTTTGTTTTGACAACCATACGTATTTTGGAATCAGTCCACTAATATCTTTCGATGTTATAACGTTAAAATTTCTATTCATGTATGTAAGATATCATATTTTACCTTCTTATGCTCCATTAAATATTTGTTAAACTCCTTTAATCAAGACATGGTCAGTTGTTTTACAGTCTTCGGGCATTTTATGGTATCATTTGATGACAATAATAAATACACTTTGATGTTTAAGAAAATATCTGTACAAAACATCATGTATATGGTTTATATTATATTAAATACATTTGTGTATGTACACGTCGAAATTTATATTGAAAGTATCATGACTACAAATTCTAAATGAAATATTCTATAAAACACATACCTTCCTCGTTCATGATTCTCGTCTGACACTTCTGTCCATCTACTATAGCTGGGTCATTTGTCACTAGCTCTGTTTCTCCCGATCCTTGCTTGAAATCATGTTTTCCCCAACGTCCGAGACATTTTACCATTCTCTAACTTACACTTTAACATTCAATACCGATATTGTCCCTTGTAACACGCGATTAAACTTCCATAAGCTAAGAGTTACAATCAATACCCGGCGATAAAATCCGCTTTCAACTGAAGGCCATGAACAGGTACAAGCAATTAATGTAGAACTATACAGGTATTGAAAATTTTACGATCCTACGTCCTGAGATACGAGTACAGAATACCTATATCTCTAGAATCTAACAATCTTAGTAAATACCAGGATACATTCACTTCCTGAAACAATACATGTGCGTGCTTTGCTTTTGCTTTCACACTTGTTTATGTCTATTCTTTATACATCCTTTTCATATGAACACGGTACACATGCAAAAATTAAAGTCCGCTTAAATCGATCCTGGTTGATAAACAATTAGTTAATGTGTCAAAATAGAATCTTAGTCATTGCAAAGTTAAACACAATTGTGGTCAAAATATAGGATACAACGATTATATTATTTACAATTTATTGCGTGCGGTATATACGTCCTGTTCTTCACGTATAGAAATATAAAGCCTTAAGCTTTATAACCGTATTGATTTGCCATGCATTAGACCCAATTACAAAACAGGACAGAAATAGCGCGCACCTTGTATTTACTTAAGTAAAATAATAATTGATTTATATAACACTTAATACACGTATAACCTTCTGTTTCAGGTGTAAATATACGTAAACCTGGAACATTAAACATGTATATATACATATTTATAGCACTCTGTGTGAAAACCCAATCATGATTAATAAATTATACAGCTCAAGATCAATACTTTATGTATCGATCTTTAAAGAAAGTATTGTTGAATCCATGTCAGGCTTTATTTTCATTTTACGTCATCATAAAAAGAAAATTAGCGTATGAATGTAGTTGCATGTTTGAGATATGATTGAATATTAAGTTACAAAACCTATTAAACCTGTTTTAGAATGTCCAGGTGGTGACAAAATCAAGATCTCAACACGGCAGAAACATTACGATTATAAATATGAATTAATATTCACTTGAGTTGATTTGAATTCAAATATTTGTACATTGTATATATTTATTGAAACATAACATATAATAATAATAATAATAATAATAATAATAATAATAGTATAAATAATAATAATGATAATAATAATAATAACAATAATAATGCTCCACAGCGTTAGAAACTCGTGAAAAAATGGCGTACGAAATATTTTTTGTAAACTTCTCAATGTTTACTGGATTAGAGTTTTATAAAATTATATCTTCTCTACATTTAATTTAACAATTTAAAGCTGGGATTTTATTATTAGAGACAGAACATTTATGTTCCTATAGATAACATTTACTATTTATGTTATTTATATAAATTAGATGAGGCCTGGAAATTCCGTCAACGCAGCAAGTATTGCATACTCTGTTTGATTGAGCGTGCGCATGGGCGGTAGTGGTAAATGCAAGCGACCGTTCACACACACCCCATCACCGGTTTCAACTAAACTCAACATTTAAACATGAACATAGTGTTTTACAAATGATTAAGTCTGATGACGGAAACTTCAATGTCTCGCTTTCGCGTCCTTTCATAAAATCCGGCATATGACCCTTATATAAATACATGGGTGTGCCCGTTTCGAAGTTTAACCTCTGCACTGTTTATATCAAAAAGGAAGAATTTGATTTCAATTCAAATATGTGTATTCGTTTTTTTAATGGCGATAATAATAATAATAATAACAACTACAATAATAATCTTAGAATGCTCAACGGCGTTAAAAGTCCGTAAAAAAAGGCACACGTGTTAAATTTAGAAGAAAAAACATGCTGCTGTCGTTTCCGTAGATTTTTTTAATTTCTTAATGATTACTGGATAAGAGTTTTATTTATATCTTCTCTACATTTTGATTAAACAGTTAAGTCAATTATAAAGCTGTGACTAAATAGTCAGACAGAACATTTATATATACTTATTAATAACATGTATCTTTTTGATAAAATATAGATTTAGCCACACGACAAAATTCAGAATATTGCAGAGCGTGTTCATCAGTAGAATTTTCATGGACTATATATATATATAATTCATGCAAGCGACGGTTGACACTCCCGACACTGGTATCAGCAAAATTTAAAACAAAACAAAAATGAACATGGTGTTTAACAAATGATTTTAAAAACATCCGCAGATGTGATCAAACAGCGACGGTTCACACCCCCAGACATACAACAGTAGTAATGGAACCTTGGAACTCTCGTGCCCTTTAACAAAAACTGCTTGTGACCCTTATATAACTGTATGGGTGTATTTTAAACACATTTAAACACATTTGTAGTAGGCTGACAATTTAGTTTGGTTTTTAGCCTCCAGTGTAATTTTGTATTATGAACGTATCCTGTTTCGAAGTTTAACCTATCCACCGCTTAGGTCATCGGTATCAAGTATAAATGCACTATTTCGACATGTCCGAACAAGCTTGACTTGTACATTTCTTAGCATACTATTAGATACTAGTATTAGATACTAGGTATTATTTTCGCCGATGAGGCACAAAGATATTAAACAAAAGTTACACCGTTCCTTTTTATTGTAGATCTTATTTATCCGATCATAACTTAATATGATTATCAAAGTTTTAACATTGATTAATTTTGTTTGTCATTAATTGTTTGCGATACAAGTCATCTCAAGCTAGAAATTACAAGAAGTTTATTTCGAATCAGGTTTTACAGTTTTCTTGGTTGCTTCTCGCATTTTCCTTACAGATCCTAACACGATTGAAAAATGTTTTTGTATTTTCTACTGCTAAAATAAAAAAAAAATAAACAATAAAAAATAGGACAATCTACACCAGAATACTTTTATTATTTCTGTCGATACATGCCCGAGATTCTTAGGATTTTGCGATGGACTTTAAATTAGAATATTACTGAGAATTGTATGATGTTAACATGGTCCATCGGAACGGACAGATGTTGCGAAGATTCTCCTAACTTTTAACTTTCTCTTTATTGGTCTCGATGAACCTTCCCTTCCTTATTAACAGACATGAATGCAAATTAGACAGCTTATTTTCATACCATTATATTGAAACTGTGAACATAGCTATGCTTACATATCATTAAAATTATAATTATTATTATTAATGAGCCAATGATATAATGCCTTGCATTCGGATGTATGTTCATAAATCATTATATTCGTAGTCGTAACTATTCGTAACTATAGCCATATGTCTATAAATATAGTAATAACTAAAATAAATTTATATTAAGCGTAATACTATAGATTATAAGCATGTAAGTCATAACTGAGGATATTTATAATAAGCGTGTGTCAACAAACTATGAGCTTTAATTGTAGTTATAACTAAATTAGACAGTTATATAAAGTGTATATTTATGTACATGTTTTTATATATAACTACACAGACATGAAGTTATAAATAAAGCGTATGTCCATAAATCTTAAAGTAATGTAGTTATTACTGACTCAATTTGTATTAAGCGTATGTCTATAAATAAGAAGCCTTTTAGTTATAGCTGAAGACATTTACACTTTACCTATAGATATAAACTATAAGTCAAGTAGCTATAACTAAAAAGCCATCATAGTGTATAATTAAATGTAGTTATAACTAAATAAATTTGTCTTAAGCGTATGACCATACATTATAAGTTGTTAAATTATAACTTAAGACATTTATTTTAAGTGCATATCAAAAAACTATAAGCTTTGTAGTTTAAAACTAAATAAGAAATTTTAACTTTATATGTGTATAAACTAAAAATAAGCCTTGCAGTTATCAATTAAGATTATAATAACAAGTGTATATGCATAAACTATAAAGTAATGTTGCTATAACAAAAATTAATTATATTGAGTTATAAATCATTTATATAAAGCTTATGTCCATTGTTATATCCCTTAAACAAAGTGCATACAATTATCATCTTTTATAAGGTATCTTTACCACCATATTTATTGTAAGTTATAACAGTACTTGTACGTACTAGTACACAATAATTAATTGCTTTCTTTTTCTAATTGCTAGCAACACTATAGAATAATAAATAACATTATAAATAAACAAATGTAAATTTTATCTCCTTTATTCATTTAAGGTACACAACAAGCTAACAAGTTGGTGAAGAGAAAATGGCCGACCAACAGCCAGATGGATCTCCTAGAGAACGCCGTCGAAGCCGGAAACAAACGATTTTGTCACAGGGCCCGCCGGAATTTGCGTCCATTTCAATCGACGGTGATAAAAATGTTCCTGTTGCTGACACAACTGATTCCGAAACAGATGACTGCGTTTTTAAAGATAATTTAACAGACAATGCATGCGAAATTTCATATGATGAAAGTCATTCTAAAGAAGTAAACGACGCTAAACAAGAGAATCACGAACACGCAGCCACTAAAATTGAAAATGACATAATCAGTAAAAAGAATGAGGTTCCGGATATTGTTTACGATGAAACAAAACCAAAAAGGCTTTCGCACAATAGGCCTCAGAAATTAGACTTAGAAAGTCACAGTTCTAATACTTTACATGAGACTATAAATTTTCTTATATCCCCAGATGATAGCCCAACCAGAAGGAAAAGACGGGCTCTAAATACAGTGCGATCAGAGCCAACAATCGGGAACCACAGTAACGATTATAATCATGAAGCACTTGACAGTCATGCAAGAGAAAATCACCGAAAGCATGATACTGATCCGAGGAGTAAACAGATGCAAACGTTGAAACAAACACATTACGAACAAAGTCCTGAAAGTACTCGGAGAAAGGTATCATCACCAGTACAAAGACTTATGGTAAAGAACAGTGCTCTAGCGGCTGCAGCGGCAGCAAATAGCAAAGACCGAAAAGGTTCATCAGAAGCCAGACAAACGAACAACGCAAATTTTGTCTATGTTGGACCAAGACGTAAGATTTCGTCCGATGCTAGACTAGAACATCGTCATATAGAAGAAAGCCTTTCCCTTCCAACAAAACAAATGCCAAAAAGAAAGGTCTCATTCGATACAAGTGCGTTAGTTAATGGAAACAAGATTATGCCATTAAACGATGAACCAATTTTGAAGGAAAAACCAGAACATATCATAGAAGAAATATCCGAGCCTCAAGCAGAATATGGTGTTGATGAGGAAAGCATCAAAGAAAGTCCTAGGCTTGAAATTAAGATCCCAAAAGTCATCTTTACAAGCGATGATGATGAAGGTTTTGTTCAAAATGAAAGGGAAAGTCCGAGAAACGACGAGAGTGTGAGCGAGAATAGCGAAGAAGGTGAGGATGGCTATGCTAGTGGTTGTGATAACAAAGCGTACGTGAGAGACGAAGATGAACATGTACAATCTAACGGATCACTGGATACAACCAATGAAAGATTTACAAATTTTCAAAGTGAGGCTCATAGTAAACGAGGGCGGCGTCTTTCACCAATGTCGGCTCAATCATACACATTTGAAGAAGCTGCTGTCATTCCACATATGAATGTGGATCATTTAACAATGGATAGAAGTGTTTCAACTGGTTCGATTGGCTCCTACAGTGGAAGACGTATATCAGCATACGACGACCAATCTCCACCAAAGTCAATTTTAAAAACGAGACTTGAAGATGCAGAATCCGTGAATTCCGAGATCTCTGTCAAAAACTTCAAAGTCAGGAAAGATTCCATTGCCTTGTTTATGGACCAACATGGTGAAATAGCTATGCAAGAGTTAATAAAACAGCATGATGAAAAGTTCAAATGCTTTGGAAAAGACGATATTAAACAGGTAATTTGACAATTATGCTTCATTTAAATGGAAGGTATATAAGATATAATGAATACAGATGTCAAATTGATGAATGCTTGTCTATAGGTCAGACAATTGTGTATAAGTAATACATGCTCTTGGTTTAAACTTATTTATTTAAGCTCGATTGCGAAACAAGTTCTTGCAACTTATTTTAATCAAGTCCGCTTCTTGGAACAAACCAGTACTGGTGTCATATGAAGAAACATGGTCGTGACCCGTTTAGGGCTCGAACCCATGATCCTTTGGTTGCGAGGCAGACACCTTGACCGCTAGGCCACCTCTCCTCTTATATGTTAACTTGAGTGCAAAACAAAGATGTTATTCATTGATAAGTGTCTAATGGGAACAGAACAAGGTCTGTCTGTATAAATATTGATTTACAAACAAAGAGTCAAATCAAGTACTCATGAAACCAGGACAATTTGAGAAAATTTAATTCATTGCAAGTAAATCGTTAAGTAAATGTATTTAGAAAGAAACAGTGTTAACTTATAGCTGGCTTTTATTTACTTAAGTCCCAGTTAGTTCTATCATAACTTGCAAATGTGGGGTATATGATGCCATTCCATTTCATTGCAACTAATTTGAGTTCATCTCAGTTATACATGAACATATTGGAAATGATACTGTCGTCACTAATATCTTTGACAAAAATTGAAAAAAAAACACCGATAATAATGTATAATTTAAACAATACATTTGAGTATTCATATAAGTATCCACCATTTTTTAACTTGTTGACTTTCTCTTCTATTTCAGCTTTGGGAAAACCGTAAAATGCTTTTGGAAAAGTACAAACTTCACTTACTAGTTCTTACACTATTCCTACTGACCTTCTCCTTCGTAATAGTGGGGTTACATTTCCACAGCGAGCATCATAAAAAGATGGCCTCTTCTCAAAAGGTTTTCTTTGATGCAAAGCTGAAAACGTTAACGCTTAGTGATACAGAAAACTGGGACACATTGACAGGGTCGTTAGGTTTAGATATACCTTCATGGAAGATGCCAATACATTGTTATCCTAATTACAAGAAGATCATGGATAAAACTTGTTTGAAATGGAAAGAACACGGTCAGTTGGATATTGCTTATTTCATCAAGAACAACACACAATGCTATAATATAACTTGGAATCTGTTACCAGGAACTTCCGCTTATGACTGTTACGAGATAGGAGGTAGAAGCTGGTACGGACCTTTAAACATGACAAAATCACAATGGCCAATCAAGTCAAATCCTTTTAGCTTTACTGTTAGTAAGTCAAAACACCATGGAAGTGGCACGTTTTCGTCGGCTGTGGAATATTATTGGTTGTCGTCACGGGGCGAGGCGGTAGTTGTCGATTCGAACTTCCCATTAGAAGTTAGTTGGAACAAAAAGAAACCAGGCTCTTTTTGTGCAATAAGTAAGCGTTCTGGGGATTTCTACAGCAAAACAGTAACAGCAAAACGTACATTTAGCTACTCAGTTTGCAATGGAATAGATATTCAAACCACGCATGCGCTGATCAGAGAGAGGTTTTATCCTGCAATTACTAGCTTACCAGATAGACAATTCTTAGAGAATCCTCACTGGTCAACAGTAGCAGATTCCGATGATTTTCGTCTAAATGATACGGTCGTGTACAATGTTGCCGACGCTATAAAAAACAATAACCTCAACTGTAGTTCTATGGAATTAGACGGGCAATGGGAACACAGATACGGGGACCTAACTTTTAACCCAAAATTGTTTACAAACATGTCTGACCTTGTTCTTCATGTTGCTAATGCAGGTTGTGAGATATCGTTAAACGTTCACCCTTTCTTTAGCTTCCATTCAGTAAATTTTATCGAAGGGATGAATAGAGAATATTTTGTGGAGGATGCAGGTGGGACTGTCCCTGCTCTTCTAAAATGGGAGCATGGAGTTGGTGCTATGTTAGATGTTTCGAATCCTGCGGCTCGTGATTGGTATGTGGGTAAGATCAGGAGAATTTCTTCTAAATACAATATTGATACGTTCCGTCTAGTGTATGGGACCTCCGCATGGGTTCCAAAGAATCCGGTATTTCACAACGACGGTATAAGTCCAACAAAGGTTAAGCTATTGTTTTCTGATTTGATGGCTTCTTTGGGGAATGTTGTTCTTGAAAGCACATCTCAGTCACAGCATTTGTCCACTCTGGTTGGAATTTCATCTTCTGTTGTCACTTCAGGTGACAAATTTTGCCTGAAAAATATAATACCGGAAATACTTAATTTAGGTCTTATGGGCTATCCATTTGTCTTATCAGATGGGTTTGATATCGATGACAAACACAGAAACAATGATGATTTTATACTTCCGAGCAGAGATCTTTATATTCGATGGATGCAGCTTTCGGCATTCCTTCCAGCTGTTAGATATACCGTAAAACCTTGGTCGTATGACGCCAAAGTTATTGAGGCCTCAAGGAATCTCACAAAATTTCATAGCGATGTCGTTCTTAATACTATATTCAAAGCAGGTGAAGACATTCTCAAAGGTTCTCCAGTTGTTCAACCCATGTGGTGGAATCGGTCAAATGATAAGAGGACATTTTTAATCGATGATCAGTTCGTTTTAGCCGACAAGATCTTGGTGGCGCCAATTTTGTGTGAGTGTCATATAGATGAAGATTTAGCGGAAAGAGACATTTATGTTCCAGAGGGAGTGTGGAAGGATGCCAGTCACGACAAGGTTATCATTGGACCAAGATGGATAAAGAATTATAAAGCTAAACAGTTTGAAATTCCGTATTTTGAAAGAATGTCAGAAGCTACATATTGAAAAAGTTATATCTTACTTGGTTGTACTTAACTGTAAGAAATGTTTTCGAAAATATCCAGCAGGACTGGTTAAAATGGAATAACTTTATATGGTATTATGTTTTGGCATTAAAACATGTTAAATGTAGCATTTTTAATGAAAAGAAAAATCAATTATGTTTTAAAATGTTCCGTATATACAAAATAATAATGATGATTTATGAGAGGGAAACGACGATTATACAACAAAAAGAACTTGAACGTCGCTATCACAAAAAAATGACTCCATATTGTGTTGTGTTTTTGTCCTACTATGTCGAGATCAAGTATTGTATAAGTGGAAATTATCGACAAACATTTTAGACTTCCTGAAATAAAACTTCTTTCATTTCTAGTGAAATAAGCATGGACATAACAGTATCGATACCTGTGATGTAGATGCTCATCATATAGAGCACTGTGATTATTTGCCTTAATACTGTTGACTGATTTCATCATCATAGGTTAAATGTTATCTGATAAAAACCAGCTCCTATATTGCTACGCCATATGTAAGAATTAATATGAAAAGTAAATCTGAGCCTAAGGCATTTGGAATAGATACAAATACTTTGCACTTAAATATAAGCAGAAGTTCAATATCGAAAATAACATTAATAATACCAAATGCATTTTCGATAAGTAGCTAAATCATACCGACAACAGTGCCGAAAACTAGCTACAACATACCAATAATGTATCGAAAATTAGCTACACCATGCCAATAATGTGTCGACAACAAGCTACTACATGCCAATAATGTGTCGAAAACAAGCTACTACATACCAATGATGTGTCGAAAACTAGCTCAACATACCATTAATGTGTCGAAAACTAGCTTAACATACCAATGATGTGTCGAAAATTAGCTACAACATACCAATAATGTGTCGACCCAAGCTACAACATACCAATAATGTGTCAAAAGATAGCTCAACATACCAATTATGTGTCGAAAACTAGCTACAACATACCAATAATGTGTCGAAACTATAGCTACAACATACCAATAATGTGTCGAAACTATAGCTACAACATACCAATACTGTGTCGAAACTAGCTACAACATACCAATTATGTGTCGAACCTAGCTACAATATACCAATTATGTGTCGAAACTAGCTCAACATACCAGTAATGTGTCGAAAAATAGCTCAACATAGCAATAATGTGTTGAAATATATTTACAAGACACCAATAATGCGTCAAAACTGATATGATATCAAAAACTATCTGTAATTTTCGTATGATATATAAAATATGTAATAGTATTGTTAGTAATCGAGATGCATTTAAATGTACGTATCATTTATTTTTCATACATCATTTATTACTATTGCCATTTCGTACACTTTCAGATTTTATAGAATGTGTATGTTTCTTAGACAAAATTAATATATATCCACTCAAAGAGACTTTTATGAAAGTACAAGCATACATGATCATTGTACTTGAAAAAGAAACATTTATACATCGGTTTCATTGCTGCATTATGTACGGTCAACATTATTCACTGTTTATAAATTAATAACTACATTGAATTTGAATAGTTCTTTTTTACTCAAAACTTTTGTATTTATGTGTCACAGGGTGAGAAAAATGTGCAGCCTGACCGGGACTCGAACCCGGGACTCTCGGAATACCATGGCTGCTATATTGAAATTCGTCCTCGAATTTCTCTGAGGTACAGAGCAATGTGAATTTAACTCTGAGCTATGTACAGTCACGGACCCCCGTTGGGCGCCTAATGTCAAAGGGTAAGAAAAATGTGCAGCCCGACAGGGACTCGAATCCTGGATATTTGGAATACCGTTTCGCGGCTCTACCGACTGAGCTATACGGCCACTCACACACTATCTCCCATAAATAGTGAACAGTTATGAACCTTGACATATAGCATAGTTTTTTTTTCATGTTTTTTTTTTTTTTTTTTTTGGATTGTTTTTTTTTTTTTTTGTTTTTTTTTTTTAATTTTTCATTGTCATTCTTTTCTAATTAACAGTTTTCATAACCATTATTTAATAATTGTTTTGAGAGATATGTAATTATTTTGAATAGCTTATATGTTCATTTGTTTTGTTTTTTTGCCATGATGTTTAAGGTAGACAAAAAAGTTTGCAATGTCGCAAATTCAACAAGAGAAATATAAGCACACTACTCAATAGTTTTGTGATTGAAAATTCCTGTACAAATTACCACGGATTTATATTACAATAATAATATAAATCCGTCAAATTACTTACTTCCAAAGCAAATGGAAATAAATAATGCAAATGAAAGAGAAACATGTTCACTTTATCAGAATAAGATAAAAAAAAATAAGTATATTGAATTTGAAATGAACTGAAGACAGAATGAATGTATACAAATAAACTGTTCTCAGTACATGTACATATGGAGGCATATGAAACATCTTGTACATATCTTAAAACAGTTAATTTGGTTTTTTTAAAAAAAGAACAATTTATTAATTGATGTTGTTGCAATGATTGCCCTTTTTATGTTTTTGTTTCGTTTTACTTTTGCAAAAAATTGTTTATGATATTATGTAAACGTTAGCAAATTAAAGTTGACACAATTCATATCAAAAATAAAATATACTAAGCGTTTATATGTAGCTTTTTCATTCAATTTTGTAATGAACGGTCTGTATAATTACTAATTACTAAGATACAGATGTTTTGTAGTTTATCTTAAATATTGCCCATTGTATAGCACCAGCACGATCCTATATTAAATGGTCATGTTAATTGTAAAAATGAGCACAGCAATGGCGGGGCAATGTACGCCCGAATGTTAATTTGTTTGAATATTCAAAACTTATCTTTTAATTAGGAAGTTTGTTTGTTTGTTTGCCACACCGACGCAGTATATGTCATTTGGCGACGTTCCAACTCTACTGGTGAAGGAAGACCTCAGGTGCCCTTCCGTGCATTATTTCAGGCACGAACGGGTTCCTGAGTAGAACCACCGACGTTCCGTTAGCTAGCTGGATAGCTTCATCACATGAAAGAATCCAAAGTTCCTGTCGGGATCCGAACCAACAGCGGTGAGGGGCAAGTGTTCAATTAGGAATAGACCTTATCAAGAAACTATGAAAAATGCTTTACCTTAATTATCCTTATTAAACTAAATGACCTCCAGGGTGGGGGCATTTTTACCTTAGGTGCAAGATTCATAATTTTTAGACGTCTACTAAGCAATACTATGTGCCCAATAAAATATAGAAGTTCTTGTCATTATAGTCTTCCACAAAACGGTAAGAAGTGTTTTCCTGAACATTAGTCTACATAAAGCAAATGACGCCTGGGGCACGCCCACATTTGACCTTTTGGTCAAGATGAATATAACTTTTTTTAGAAAACTACAAATTGATGCTGCATGTCAAATATTTTAGCTATCGGATTTTTGATTTCACAAAATAATACTTAAATGTGTTTTCCTATGTAAGTCTTTATAAATCAAGTGATCTCGGGCTGGCCAGTATTAACCCCAGGGGCATGACTGATATCAGTTTTGTAATCGGTCCACAAGGCAACGCTACATGCTAAATATTAAAGCTCTTGCTATTGTAGTATGACATATTAAGACTTTTTCATAATAAGTCTATATAACTCAAGCAAACCCCTGGACGGGACCAATCTTGCTCTGAGAAAGTCCACAAATGTGTTCAAACATTGTCTCATAAATTATATTAAATTCCTGCCAAAACTTGATTTCTCATACCGAACGGGCGCGAAGGTTTAAAGTTCATACAAAATGACTTGGTGTGACCTTGACAATAACCTGAAGAAGGTCAACCCTGCGTTCTGCACATCGTCTCATTTTGGTTAACATTTCTGCCAAGAAGCTTTAATTTTCTTTCGTCGGTTTTAAAGATACAGACCTGACGCGAAATTGCTAACAAACGTACGGACGACCAGGTACATAACAATATACGCTGACATTCTTTTGGATGTGTAAAAAATGAAATCCTTAAAGAACGCCTACAATTGTAAAACTGAAAAGGTTGTATATTCGGTTTGATTAAGCTGGTGCTTTGACAGTGCCTAGTGGTAGGTGCAAACTACCGTCTACGCCCCCTTACAGCGGACAACATCTATGCATACTCAAATGTATATGAAAATGGTGATATTTTGAATTATAAACACCCGCAGATAATTTTATTCACATACTTTTACCACTCTACAAAGTAAACAATTAAAACAATTCTGGTAAAACAGCAGCGTTTGAGATTCTCTTTCTTGTAGAGTTGTCATTACTTTTTGTCTTCTTTTTTCTTCATACACATACATGAATACACTATATATATGATATTAACTTATTAAGTGATCGGCTCTGTCTAGTTCTATAAATGCCTCACAAAATACTTCCAGATGTAGTAAAATTCAGTACATTATATGTGTAGTCTTTCAAAGCCATTTTGATTAGCGCAATTAAGGGTCGACACTGACAAGTAATTTATTTATCATTGGTCTTTAATATAATATGATTTTTCGGTCACTGTGGACAGCGCAGCTGTATTTTCACCAAGCGTATCGATGCGTAAGACTGGTCAATATATAAGGTGTATGTACACGGGTATTTGACCATTCGAGGTACTATAGGTTCACTACACACAGACGCCCACCCACCGCACCCTCGTTTTGAGATTACACTTAAGATTGTATATGTCATGCTGGACTTTGTAATGTCACAATAATGTTTTAAAAAAATGTATACTAAAGTTAAGATTAATCAACGGTATTGATTAATGTTTATTTAATATGGAAATAATCTTTGTTTTGTCTTTTCCAGAGTAGACAATTTTTTGTTGTCTTTTGATAACGTTGCAAGGATGGATGCTAAGTTTGAGTGAGTTTTGTGGTTCTGACTTTGAGGTAACACATTTGTGTGTATTAAGACATTATTCCATACAGCGCACTGGAATTACACGGAACCACGATTTTTGGAATGTTCGGATCGACGACATGGGACTTTTATATGAGCATATGTTATTATTGTTAAGTGAAGAGACACTTCTCACTAGTTTAAAGTGATTTTTTTCAAGTGCTGTCGATATGTATGAATGTATATAAATTTATATAATAATAAATTAAAGTGAACCTGTAGTAGCCACTCCTACATTGTCTTTCTTTTTTATATTTTATCCATGTAGGATATTAATTATGGAGTTAAATGATAAATTATTTATGTTTGGCTGAATGAAATGAAAGAAAACATAGTAAGTTTTGTGAAGGTCGTCCAGAGAAAAGTGAATATGTTGCAGGCTTTCGTTGATTATGTTTGAATATGCATGGTCAGCAATCATTAATAAAAGCTTCAACCTATGCACCACATTTAAATGTATCTCTCCGCACCTACAGATATCTTGGTTAAGGAGAAAACAACTTAAACATAATCAATTATTGAAACGTTTGCCAATGAAAAGGAAATGACCAATAAATGTTAAAAAACTAGGTTCTATGTTCAAATAGATAGATTTTTTTAGTATCTGAAAATACGTACATGCTAATAAAGACTAGACAAACGTTTAATATTATTTATTTATTATCCTCCATTTGAAAGCTATATATATAAAATTCCCGATCAATGCAAACATTTACATGTAGAACGTTTTGCTTGCTATATGAGCCCATACGGCTAGCTTCTTAAAGCTTCTTTAAACTTTTCAGTTTCTTTTCCAATTACACTGCTGGGTAAGTATACTTTAAAGAAAGATGATCGAAAGGCAAGGTCATCTGATATTGCACAAGATTGTGTAGATAATGCCAGTAATTGATACAACAATTAAAATATGTATGTATCAATGTGATACATATGCTGTATAAATCTTCACAGACACTTAATTGGGGTTCAGACTACATCCCGCGGCTTGATGTTTCCCTGTCAACTGCCAAGTGCCAATAAAAACTACAAAAGAGTCTTATTTATTTATTTATAACACAATCTTAAAAATAAAACTTGTTTAGTCCTCAGAAAAAATTACGATCAGTTCTCAATAAAAGTGCTTTAAGTACTGTATGGTAATTTTTGCGTTTCCCCCCTCTTTTTTCATGACTGAATGAATGCGTGAGTGGGTGAGTGAGTGAGTGAGTGAGTGAGTTGGTGAGTGAGTGAGTGAGTGAGTGAGTGAGTGAGTGAGTGAATGAATGAATGAATGAATGAATGAATGAATGAATGAATGAATGAATGAATATATCTTCATATAAGGAAACTAATTTGTGTTGTTCAACCTATATGAGCAAATATTTAGTTGTCTTCTACATGCATCATGATCACGAGGTGCTTTCGTATTTTGCAATCGTCCGAATGTATTTTTTTAGATGATCAAAAAATTCTAAAAATTTGCTATTATTTAAGCTTTTTATAGCTGATGGCGGTCCCTCCATCCCATTTCCAAGCTGGAACATCAGCTGTCCCAGCCACACAGGTTGAAATTAGTGTTTCCTGCAGGTATTTATGTGTACAATTACTTGATTCTCTTAAATTTAACTTGAGTTTCATGAGATTTTTTTTTCATTTTCACGTAATATTTTGATATAATTATACAAACCTAGCTGCCTCTCATTGATTCTTTTTTTCAGGAATTATTTCCTTGTGAGTCCTAGGGTTTATACTGGTACTTGTGTGATAAATGCATCAAACTTCTAAATAAGGAAGTGGCTTAGCCGTACAGACCACTACTGTATACTTTTATTATAACTTAAAGGCGTATGTTCCTTTATTGTCCTTTATTGTTAGTTCTGGCTTCCAAAACTTTATAAGGAGCTTTTTGACATTTTTGTTTTTCATTTGATGTAGCATTAAATTTTTGGATCAGACCTGATGCGAATCTTAACAATAAATAAATTAATAATAAGTAAATAATCTACGATGATTTAACCTTATTAATTTTATTCATTTACATAAACCCTTGTCCCAATTAATTCTTGTGCATTTTGTGATAAAACAATTATTTTAATACAGTATTATACCATTTAAAGTATCAAAATATGAATACTATCATTAACAATTGCCTATTTAACTGTGAAACATCAATAACGCCGACAACATTTGGCCATGACATTTAGGAGCTACTTAAGGCCTCAGTGACTTCATTCACGGGAACTGATTAGAAAAGAGACATGCACTATACAGGGATTTACCAACCCTTTTTATATTAGGGGTCCAATTTGGACGCAGGATCTATAAAAACAGGGGCCCACCACAAAATTTTGAGGGTCCACTCCCTGACAATTTTTCGAAATTGCTGACTGCTCACAGAAGAAGTACACTAAGATTGCAATATAAATGACTATTGTAAACAATTTTAGATTTATTTCTCAAACCAAAACAAAAAACAACTTTTTAGTATTTTGACTAAAAACATTCATTCATTCAAAGCTCTAATCACTTGTATCTATCTAACCAGACAGACCGGAATGTTGTGTCATGTTTCTGTTTTGTGGATTGTTAAGATGATGTACTCATTCAGTTACAGGCGACGAGACAGGCTCATTGTCATCTCATTTTTGTTTCGGACCACCCCCACCCAAAAACTTCTTAAGTCAGCCTGTAAAATGAAAGTACTGTCATAGATAACGGTAACAACTGAGTGCTCCGACTGATAATAATATCTGGGACACGTGGGTGCTCACTATTTATTGGTCGGTATTTTAAATTCAGTCATTAACTAGCCAATAAACTGACGCATTACTATAAATACCAATTGGTGATTCCCATGACCTTCACCGCTAATTGAAACATTTTAGATATCGTAAAAATACGGAAAGGAGAGTTACTCTAAACAATTTTTGTGTGGTCATGATACTAAGTATTTATTTAAAATATGGAAATGACAGTTACTTTAGAAAAAAATTTCTGCGTCCATGTATACGCAGAATTTACTTTTTGTGCGTAGAGGATGGCATTTTATGCGTATATGACGCAGGATCCTGCGTCCGGTAAATCCCTGACTATATTTAGAACATCTTTGTTGACATGATTTCAATACTTATAATTCAAGATAATGTTTTTTATTTTTCTTAGGATTTTTAGTACTTAATCCATTACACGATATAATATACAAGCCTTTTAACGTCTTTTTTGTTTGTTTTGAAGAAGATAAAATGTGACGAAAAATTGAAGTTTTTAGCAATTGATGTAATTTGGGATACAGATTTGGCTGTGATGTTTGGTAGTTTTTTTAATGAAAATACTAAAGGTTGTTAAAAATTATTATATTATGTTTTTTATGTGACTGAAGAATCTACATTGATGATGACAAGCATTTCAATTAAACAAATAAAATTTTACATTACAGGGGTCTCAGAGATCTGGACACATTTTCTAAGTCTGATCCTTTATGTGTGTTGTTCACAAAAGATGGAAAGACTGGACAGTACTATGAGGTAAATATATTTATATTGATATATCAAATAAAATCTACTGTGGTGTAATTATATGAGCCGCGCCACGACAAAACCAACATAATGGGTTTGCGACCAGCATGGATCTAGACCAGCCTGCGCATCCACGCAGTCTGATCAGGATCCATGCTGTTCACTTACAGACTGTATAACAAGTAGAGAAACTGATAGCAAACAGCATGGATCCTGATCAGACTGCCCAGAGGTATTTTAGTATATGTTTTTAGTATGCATGTACTGTGATTTAAATGTATTTGGTATAAATATATTGTAGTATATGTTTTTAGTATGAATGTACTGTGATTTAAATGTATTTGGTATAGATTTATTGTAGTATTTGTTTTTAGTATGAATGTACTGTGATTTAAAGGTATTTGGTGTAAATTTATTGTAGTATTTGTTTTTAGTATGAATGTATTGTGGTTTAAATGTATTTGGTATAAATTTATTGTAGTATTTGTTTTTAGTATGAATGTATTGTAGTATATGGTTTTAGTATGAATGTATTGTGATTTAAATGTATTATGTATAAATGTATTTTAGTGTATGTTTTTAGTATGCATGTACTGTGATTTAAATGTATTTGGTATAAATGTACTGTGGTGTATTCAGGTCACACTTGATTGTAATACAGGAAACTCTGCTTATAGCTAACTCATGGGAAGGTTTAAAATCTGATCAATACATGTATATCCTGAGTTCCTTGTAAACATTATTATAGCGAATTAGTTCCTTGTATCAGAAGTTTTTATAGCAAACAGTTTTACATATTATGGACTGATTGTTCACCATTGTCCTCCATTTTGAAGAGCATTTGATTAAGTCAAATAACTCATTTTTATATATTTTAACATATGAAAGATATTGATTTCTTTTCATTTCATCAAGCATACTTTGTACTTTTCAATGGATATTACTCAAGAAATAGCATGAGTAATTATGTTGAAAACCAATTGTAAATGATAATAATTATTTTCCTTGAGCAAAACTATTTAAGAAAAGAAATATGGCCTTAAATAGTTCCCATTATAGAAATTCACCTTGGACATAACTTTTTATAATAATTTAACACTTCTGAAAAGACAAACAGCTATTCAATAAGATTATAGATATTTTGAACTAACCAAAGCCCTTTAAAACTCATTAATATTTTAGATTGAAAGAACCAGCAGCTAAAATACTGGCGGTACCTGATTTTAAGTTAAACACTTGTGACAAAATAACATAAAGGGGGAGACAACTACATGTACAGAACAAAATATCAACTAACATCTACATATTTACTCATAAAGAATGAAGAATTTTAGTTTGTTAATACTGAAACTAACTAATCCCTACACAGTAACTATTATCAACCTAAGACTTGGAAGTTAGAACTACATTTGTGCAAAACAATCATTTTAGTTGAATATGAATATTTTAACCATGCTGTTAAAAAGGCCATTGACATAGATATGATCTGTGGTTAACCAACATTTGAAACATTTTAATATATGGAAAAATAACTTGGCATTTTGCCCAGAAAAACTCATATATCTATTTATAGTAACATACATCACATTCTGTCCCATCTTTTTTTAGTACTTCAATAATCATTTAACTTTGAAATATATCCCGATGAATGTCTTAAAAGAGCGAAACCGGTAGATCCTAGAATAAACCAGTTACAAGTTTGATGTGTATTTTCTCCTTCTCTTGATTTACTTGTTAAAAGAAATAATGGAATCAAATGAATAATCATTTTATCTTGGTAACAAGATCTCATGCTGAAATATCCTAAATAGAAAGTTATTTCATACTGCTATACAAATGTATTAAAGTACATACAACAATAAACGGTACATTTGGCCGAGTTTTAAATCCGAGCCGATAAATACGAAGGTAGAAAATGTGGGATCTATTTACAGAGAGTCAATATTTTGGAGTTCATTATCAAAGTGTAATTTTCTGTACTTTTAACTTAATAAGGATTAAGAAAATTAGTTCCTTATAGCCGATAATTCCTTATAACCATGTTTGCTATAAACATATTTTTTATATTTAATAAAGAAGGGCAAAATTCGGGCAAAAAAAATTGTTCCTTATAACCAGAAGTTCTCTATAACTGTGTCTGCTAAAAGTCAGCCTTTATTACTGTTGGGTCATATTTGTGCATGTGATACATGTATTAAATATAGACAAATATGAACAGGTATATATAAGATGCTTGTATTTCAAATGTTTTTGTACATGATAATATAAATATTTATATAGATGCATTATTATTTAACAGTTTGGTCGCACAGAGATGATCAGTGACAACCTCAACCCAGACTTTGTGAAGAAATTTGTTATTAATTACTATTTTGAAGAGAGCCAAAAATTAAAATTTGAAATGTAAGTATGAAATTAACAGAAAAAAGTCGCTTGTTACATGAAATTTGTAAAATGAAATACTCTGCATTTTTCTTGCAAAGAAACAAAATTACATATTTGAAACTTTCAAAGATAATTACTGGACAGGAACAGAACAGAATAGAACAGAAACTTTATTTTCAGACTTGTTAGTCATGATTATTGAAATAAAAAAAAAGAAATATTCTTAATTTAAAACTTTTCTAATTGTACAGTACTGTTCATTGTAAAAGGAAATAGTTTTTTTTTTTTATTTTATAAAAGAAAATGTAATGGTTTCATTCACTATTCAGATATGATGTGGATTCCAAAAGTGCTAGGCTGTCAGACCATGTAAGTAATTTCTTTTGCTTGAATCAGATTTAGATACAAACACAGTTTTGTGATATACAGTTATATGACACCAAAATGAAATTAAAATATTCTTTATATAGTAGTGATAATATGAGATATTTATTTTCATGTTGCACAATTGGCATTGAAAGCGCTTCTGAAGAAATTAAAATTATGAAGTTCGTTATTTCTTAAATATTTTTTTTATTTCAACACTGCACAAGGAACATTTATGTACTTTAATAGACATGTATATAACTCAATATATCAGAACAGAAAGAATTGGCTTTTATCAAAGTGTGAAATAGTAATATTTCCCAGGTTATTGGGAAATATAGGGAATTCCCTGGTAACATTATAGTAAGTTAATTTCTTTTATTTACTTTTTTTCATATCAAATTAAATCACATCAAAATGACTGTTAATGATCAGATATATGTAGAAAAAATTGTTCAGGTATGAAATTAATAAAAAATGAATTCTTATAAGATAGGTTATGAATGTCATTTATTTTCAGGATTTTCTGGGAAGAATGGAATGTACACTTGGTGAAGTTGTAGCGACTGGTGGGAATTTTGAACGACCATTATTGTAAGCTTGTTTTTCTTGGTTATAATTTAACCAGGGTCTTACAATTTCATTTGAAAGACCCTGATTTAACTAAACACTACTGACAATGACATAATTATATTTATTTGTTTTGTAAGTTTTCTTTAGTACAAGTTTCCCTTTAAACAAATTGTCTTCAATAAAATTGCCTGATGAAAGTTTTTTGCCGACAAGATTCTATTATATTGTTCTCTTGAATGTGAGGCATGAGGTCTTATTCCTGCCATGACGCTTATCATACACCGGTTACCAGTACTGTTGGCCTAGTGGTTAAGACATCTGCCTTCAAATCGGGAGGTCAAAGGTTCGAGCCCCATGGGGAGTGTTAACTGAAGGATAAATGTTTCTTGTGGGACTCGTTCTGAAATGGCCACTTTGTGAGTCGCAAGGTAGTTAAAATGAATGGTTACCGATTTCTATCCGTCTGGCGCCTGGCATAGTGGTAGGAGTTGGGAGGTACATGATATTCAAGGTGTGTCATAAGTCAGAAATGGCTGGCCCTTTCAGCAGGGGTGACACCATCATAAACAAGACCATAATGCGTTACTAGATTCTTGTATAGATGCATTTCATATAGCAATTCAGTAGACAGTATGAATTTATATTCTGTCTTATTTTGGTCAAGAATTGTTGTTCATTTACTGCAACAGTGTTTTTAGCTTAATTTCTCATAATAAAATGTACTTTATTTTCAGAGGGCCAACTAAAAACAATGGCAAAATTATTTGTAAGTATTTCTAATGAATATTTATTTTCAAAACATTTGAATGCTTGTTGTGATGATTGTAATTATGCTAATGACACCCAATAAAAAAGTCAAGCATGTCTGTATGCTTACACAATCTAGTCAGAGTCTATATTGTTTTATTCTTAAATCAAGCATTTTGATATAAGTATAAATGCTAACAATAGATGCATAGGTGGTAAAACTATACCATTATACAAGCTTGTTAAGGTAAGGGTTAACTTATAAGTAAGGTAAAATATAGGATTTTCACTATTAACACTAACAGAGTGGCAATCTATATCATCTGTTGAAAAGCTTTTAAGAAAAATGGGTTGTATTTTCAGTTTGAAGATTGAAATATCCCCCCTCGACCCTGGGCAAAATCAGTTGCTTTGGTTGGCACATCTGTTTCCTCATATAAAAAATGAAAACCCTGAAAATAACGAAAGGAAGTTTTTACAATTATCTATCACAGGCTGATATCAAAGCACCCTTCTGTTCTTGAATATACTTAAATGACAAGAGGCATGTTTTTATATTAAATCCAATTTCATGTAAAGTACATGTATATTCATGCACTAAAAATTTGATTTAAATAAAACTATCAATGATTTTTATTTGTGGTGATTTTTTTAAATTTTAATATTTCAGTGCGGACAGAAGAGTTGGGGAGTAATAAGGTAACATTTTGTAAATCTTGTTTAAAAAAAAATATTTCATTACATAGATGACATATATTATGTTAATTATATACTTTTTTAAATCCTTTAAAGCAGCTAGCTTTCAGATTCATGCTAATTTTCATGAAAATTTTGAAATATTTTTAAAGTAAAATATTTTGAAGTAAAAAAAGAAAGTAATTTACTTATTGCAATCAGCACTTACAGTCCATGTAAATTACCAAAAAGAGGTTAAAATATCAAAAAGTAGCCATTTAAGTAGTGAAAATATCGTGATAAATACTACATAATCAATCATTAGTTGTACTTAACGAGTTAATAATTTCTTGAATCTTTTTTCTATAATTTCTTAAAATCTGAGTACTTTTTTTATAAGTTTAATTTTCTTGAAATATTTTGGCTTATCTGGAGGCATGCAGCTTTAAATAAGAATGTATATTTTAAAATGAATTATATAATCACAGCCTTAATTTAGATTTAAAGTTATATTAATGTTATGCATCAAGTTGATATTTATTGTAATGTTTTTACTTTAATATAGGAAGTCATAAACCTGCATATGAAAGCCAACAATCTAGACAAGAAAGATTTCTTTGGAAAGTCGGACCCATACTTGGAGTTTATGAGGGTTAATGAAGATAACAGGTAGATAAACAGAGAGGTGGTACATTGTATGCATTTTCATGTTGAAATAACATTTATCACATAAATCAAGGCGTACATGTGTAATAAAGTCATTTATCACATACCCGTGCTGATTTTGCCACTTCCTAAAAATGGTATTGCATGGTTGTGCGTATATTTTAATGTGACGACATTTGAGTAATACAAAAATAGTGTAAAGACGTACTAAATGTTAACGTTAGGCACATCAATGAAAAATGATTCTTTTGCACTTTAAACAGTCTTTATTTTGGGTATGTGATAAATAGAATATAAATCTATGTAGATTAAATACTAAAATTATAGAACTTGTGCAATAAAGCAATATTATGCTTGCCAGAGTCTCGTATAATATGATTTTATTCAACTTGTTCAATAAATTGAGTATTGAATCTACACTCATTCTTGCATATCAGACAGGATTATCTACCGATTACACCGGTGCTAGAAAACCCTGTCTTACATCCCCCATGCAAGACAAGTCGCGTGCTTTAAATGACGTCACTGCCGCACTTATTTTATAAATGAATTGCGTTCTTAGGATGACGTCACTTAACTGTTATGAATGAAGTTGTATGCCTATACGCTACTATAAGAAAAAAGTGCGTAATGAGAATATCAGTTTTCGTAGTTTCTGTTATTAAAATAATTGATATGTAATATGCAAGAAAAAGAATCAAACACGGGCTGTCGGTGCAGACGGGAATATCTAGTTCGAGGGTGACTGTTTACGGCGGTAACGAGGCTCTTAAGTGATCTTTTGTTTCAGTATCAAATTTGAAAAGATGTATTGAGATGCTAATGCTATCAATACAACAGTTTTTCTAAATGAATAATAAACATGTTTATTTTACCTTCAGTTTTACAGTGGTACATAGAACAGAAGTTATAAAGAATACTCTAAACCCCACGTGGGCACCATTCAAGGTTCCAGCTAGGTCATTATGTAACGGAGACTATGATAGGTAAAAAATATTCTCGCACTTTATTAGTCTATATAATTTGTTGAATAAAAGTATCTTGAAGATAAGAGATGTGAAAAGTTGTTTTTTTTGCTCTTAGTTGTATTAAGACTTGTCCTTTTCACAAGAGTTTTTGTTGCTATTTGGTAATATTATTTTAGTTTGAATGTGTAGGAAATTATAAGCTTATTGACACATAAAACCATTCCTAAACAAGGGTGTAAGTATTCTTGCGTAAAGACACAAAAATTTGCTCTTGATGTGGGCCAGAAATCCATATATTCATGTCATGTTCACCACATTGCAAATTCTCCACTAGTTACTTCTTGTGATATTGTGGCTAGCTTATTTCCTATAAGATAAAAGTGTTAAATAACTACACATTCATATGACTTTATCATGTTTAAGAAGGTTACTTTTGGCCTTGTAATGACTATTGTATTATTATTCTTACAGGAGTATATTGATTAAGTGCTGGGATTGGAACAGTAATGGCAGGTAAGTCACCATGTGTTATTTTGATGCATTAACATCAGACAGCATATTGGTCAGCATATCTCTGTAATTATAACACATTTTCTAGCATCAGTAGAGGTTGGGCTGTTATATGTTCATTTACCTTGAGCCTGATGGTAGCAACTTATACTAACCTTGTGACCAATACAGATCAAAATCAGCTGTCAGATCTATGCTGAATATGGTATTCCAGGTTTGCTATTCAGTCAATACTTGTTTGGAAAATTTCCCAAAAATGATATATTGAATGAAAGATTGTCAAGTCCGTTAAAGATAAGGAGCATGTTAAAAGTTAACACCAGTGACCCCTGGATTTAAGATAGAAAAAATGGCAGCTTTTAAGAACACTCAGAACTACAAAGTTGAAAATATTGCAGGCTATTTTTGATTAGACATCAGTGGTAAATTCAGGCTTCAGTCAATGTTACTCTGGCATATTCTTAATCAGAACTTAACATTTATATATGAACATGGTGTTTATGGTAAGTTTTTAGAATTTAAGAGCTTTTGATGACAATGCCTGTGAATATCAAAACAAAAATATGGTATTTACTACTCATGGGTTCTGAAATTCAATGTAAAATTTAGAGCTCTCTTATCAAGGTTTGCCAAGATAATTCTTTACAATCAATTCAATTCAATGTTAAGAATAACTACTACATGCACGATACATATCACAGTTTTGAAAAAACCATTTATTTGAATCATTTTATATTTTTATTTTCAGTTCAGATATAATAGGTCAGTTTACCACCAATCTTAGAGAGTTGACGAGAGGTCCAGGACAAAATAATGTGTATGAGGTATGATATATTTATTAAACATTTTAATTCATATAATAGTCATGCATGTTAATATGTCTTCCTTATGATTGAATAGCAGCTGTGATACAATAAACATTCAATCAGCTTGCGTTACTAGTACATGTATTTATCATCCACTGCATTCATATCTACCAGGATCCTAATTTAAGACACTTACAACAAGCAAGCACTATTTTTAGCTATGTTAGATACCAAGTGTCACGATGACCACACTTCAGTGTGTGTTCTAATTACGTCAGGTTACACAATTAAATCTGACACCAGCCAGTTTTATGGAGTAGTGAAATATACACGTCAGATATTTTCGTAGAGATCTTTGGGTAACTAGAATTTCGCTTTTTTTATCGAATAGGGAGATGTGTAAATATTTCACCCGAAAGATAGTCACTGAACTATGTTAGTTAAAACTAATTTATTTTGCTTAATTGTGAAAGAAAAGTTTGAAGCTTATTTGAAATAGTCCATAGTATGCTCATCGAAACTAAGTAGTATTTTTTTCCTGATCTGTGAGCAAGCATCATTGTGTTTCAGGTGGGAAAAATTACGTTTTTAATCTGACTTACAGGTAATCAATGAGCAAAAGAAAGCAAAGAAGAAAGGAAAATATAAAAACTCTGGTGTGGTAAGAAATACTGCTATTAACAGCCAAGTTTTTACTCATCATTGCTTGTCTTATTTAGTCTTACTTACATTTTTTGATGTTTAAATATGTCTACACAAACACAGACTTATACAATAACCAAAGATGTATTAAGCATACAACATAATACTATGTTTGTTGCCAAATAAATACATACATGTACAATGGAAAACAGAACCAATTTTTTGGATAGTTTGAATATGTACCAGAATAACAATACTTGTACTGTGTACTTTAATGAATGATTATAGAAACCCAGTATGGCATTTGCTAACTTACATAACAGTGTAGTTTAGAATCTCAAAAACTTAATTATGGTAAAACTAAACAAAAGTATATACTGTAGGTCTTGATGATTATTTTTATCATTCAAAAGTAGTACAGGTATTTACTTCAAACTAATCCTTTATTAAATTTGTTTGTTTTTTTGTTTGTTTTTTGTTGTTGTCTTTTTTATTGTAACAACAACAAATAGTCAAATATATGTAGAAAAAAGGTAGAACAAGTAATTAAATTTGCTGACATCGTGATATTATTCTCCTTTCTTGGATACTTGGCATTATGTTGATCAAGTAAAGTTATTATAATAATAGAAGCATACAGATTATGTTATAGTAAGTACATTTGTTTTTTTTTCAGGTTACACTAATGAGATGTACAGTAGAAATGGAATATTCATTCTTAGATTATATAACATCAGGGTATGTTCAGTTTATTGATTTAAGTAAATAAATATACATGTATAACATACCCGTTCCACTTTAGCTACTTTGTAAAAATGGTACTTCACGGCCTTGCATATGTTTTGACGTGCAGAAACAAAACGTAAAGATACTATATTAGTTTTATATTGTAGACATGTCAATGGAAATGATTCTTTTTTTCACTTCAGACAGCCTTTATTCTGGGTATGTGATAAAAAGAATATTATATTAGTGCAGGCTCAATACTGAATTTATTTGACTTGTTGAATAAAATAATATTATGCTCCCCATAGGCCCACATAATATAAATTTATTCAAGTCATTCAAAAAATTCAGCATTGAACCAACTCTCACTCAATTTTCTCTATATCACAAAATATTTAACTATGTCAAAAGTAATGTAAGATAGATTATCAATATTTCTTGACCTTCAAGTTTGATTGATTTTTGACAGTTTGAAGTAAAAATATAGATTTCATTTTAATTTATTACCTAACTGTATATTTTGTGTAATGGATTATCATTGTTCATGGGAATTCTGTACAAATTGTCAGTCTCACTTCATTCATTAATAACTTTAGAAACTATAACTAAGTATATCTTTTTTTTTTTTTTTTTTTTTTTTTTTTTTTTGAAGCCCAAGAGGTAACTCCCTTTATTGTCCCCGTAATAGGTAAAATAGGGTCGGGGATCCATCCACTATTTTACCTTACAATTTATTATAATGTTACAAAAAACATATTACGGGCATTTATATCATACATTATTTTATAATACATACAATACACAGAAGATAAATGTTCTCTTGGGATTCAGAGTATTTCATTTCCACCAAAACTGGATATAATATACACAGACTGTAATATATAAGTAGTTAATTCAAAAAAGGTTCTATCTATTTGCTATCATATCAACTAATGAGTACATAGATTTTTTAACTTTTGTATAACTAACTATTGAAGATGCTAGCTTTAAACTGCAGACAAGGCCTTGTAAAGATGGTATTATCTCCCTCCTCTTGCACAAGAATATATATCTTTTTAATTCTAGACAAAAAATATTAAATTGACATTGATCACCTTTTTGATACCCTAAAATAAATGTTTTACAATCAACCTTCCAATCAACATTATAACTAAGTATATCAGATATGTATTGTCATAATCAATTTGTAGAACTTTTAATGTACGGTAGGTAATGAAATGAATAGATTAAACAGTCCAAATGTCTTTATTAATGTTTGTGATTATTGTTTACATTAGAACAGAGATGGCTTTCACAGTTGCTGTAGATTTTACTGCCTCCAATGGTAACCCTAGCTCACCATCATCCCTGCATTATATCAACCCATATGGCACACCGAACCAGTATTGTATGGCTATACAGTCTGTGGGAGATATTATACAGGATTATGACACGTGAGTCATTTCATGAATTATTCTATTGCTGCTGATGTAAATCATTAAGTATTGCCATAGAGGCTAATCAGGTAGTTTGTTTAGATTGGGTTTTACGTCACACTGACACAATATAGGTCATATGGAGACGTTCCAGCTTTACTGGTGGAGGCAAACCTCAGGTGCCCTTCCGCACGAAAGGGCACCTGAGTAGAACCGCCGACGTTCCGTAAGCTAGCTGAATAGCTTCCTCAAATGAAAGAATCCAAAGTCTCTGTCAATATTCGAACTCACAGCAGTGAGGGGCAAGTGGTTTAAAGTCAACGACCTTAACCACTCGGCCATGGACGCCCCCCCAATCAGCCTTTAGAGTCTTTATTTTCCCTCAGGATTGAGTCATTTTGTTTTTTCATAGGTAAAGGTGAGTCAGAGTGTTGCCTTAGGGATTAAACATTTTAATGCCCCAGAGTTGAGAGTGTTTACTTAGAGATGACAGATTTATCATCTCATTAACTATAGTCAAATAAAACTAACTTACAAATTACTGATTTTTTAAAAAAAACATACAATGTTTTTCTATGAAGTCGAAGTGTTTGTTACTATTCTTGTGTATTTGCAAGTATACAAGTATATATCCAAGCATTAGACTATTAATCATGGGCTATAATTTCTATAGTAAGTATCTGCTTCAACATCTCATATATAGGTTTTATATAATGTGTCCTGTAGATGTATTTAAGACTTGCAATATTATTCTTTTATTGGGAAAGCTCTTTTTTAAGGGGGGGGGGGGGGGGGGTGAAATGAAAATACACCCTCAAAAAGGCTTTTTCCAATTAATTTTCCTGCCAGTTGGCTTCAAGTTTGAGTTTAGGAAATATTATTGTCAAATAAGGATATGGTTGACAGTAAGAAATAATTCTAGCTATTTTATCACTGCTTGAGATGATGCTATGAAGTGCTGTTAAAATTCGATTTTAAAATTTTAGGATTGATGTGTGTAATGCATGTAAATTGATTGATTTTCAGTATGTTATAATTGATTTTACAGTAGATCTTCTTTTGCATGTTAAAAATATATCAGCAATGAGAATTTGGTGCATAAAATAAATGTCTCTCACTATGTATTGAATATGAAGTTACAATTGGATGGTACTAAGTATTTTGGGCTGATATTTATTTGCACATACGCTTTAAGGTTGTTTTTTTTTTTGTTCTTTGTTTTTTAAGTGTTAGATAAAAAAAGTTTTGATTTTTTTTGAGTGAGCACAAAATATATTCGCCCCGATTGAACAGGAGATGTAACATTTTCATGAGTGTTGTTTCAAGTAAATAACATAAGAAAATTTATTATTTGGCGTAAGTAGCTAATAATTTGCCCTGACATGTAAAATAAACAAATTTTCCTTTTATTGCATTCATTTTAAATGCTTTTGATTCATTTTCAGTGATTTTTTGCGCAGGAATATTGTTTGTTCTACTTTATAATGTCATCAAATCTTGATGTCATAATGTTTATGTTGAAGCGATTTTTCTTACATTTTAACATAAACTGTGCAAAAAGGTTTATGTTCTGACAGTAACTCTGTACATTTCTGTAAATTAATAATGAAATGGTTTTTCTACAGAAATTTTGATTCTTTTATTAGATATGCTATTGTTGTGAATTAAAGATTTTTTTTGTCAACAGTAAAATGATATTTGATTATTTTTTTGTGAAATCTCCAAATACAGTTCACTATCATATTTTAGTGACTTTCCTGGAAATTTTGTAATATAATATAGTATAAAATAACTTTATGTTACATGCATGCTTAATTATACTTCATTCGTTATTATTTTTGTGTGCAAAATATTTGCTCTATCACACAAACATCTGAATGAAACACAGTATGGATGATTTTACTTATTTCAAAAATGATGTTTTAATTCAATAGCAGTGAAATAATATACTGAGCCTTTCTGACCATGATTCTGTTTTCACTTAAACCAAATACAGAAAGAATTAAACATTTGAATAAATTATTTCTCCAGCACAGCAATGTTATTATTTCAGTGACAAATTGTTCCCGGCTCTTGGCTTTGGTGCACGATTTCCTGATAATAGTGTTCAGCATGAATTTTCTTTGGTAAGCTTAGTGATTTTATAATTATGACAGCTTTACATAACATTTTCCCTGCTGAAGTGTTGTACTTGATCTTGTTTCCAATTTATATGCCTCCCTTCAAAGAAGAGGGGGTATATTGTTTTGCTAATGTCTGTCGTCTGTCCGTCGGTAGACCACATAGTTTCAGCTGATTATCTTAAAAACTATTTATCACAATGTCTTCATATTTCACATAGTGATTGGTCCTAACTAGTAGATGAGCCCTATTGATTCTGGGGTCACAAGGTCATAGGTCAAGGTCATCGGGGCCTTAAATGTCAAAATGGTTTCCTCTTATAATCTTGAAAACTATGCATCGCAAAGTCCTCATATTTCACATACTGATTGGTAATAACTAGTAAGTGACCCCTGTTGATTTTGGGGTCACTAGGTCAAAGGTCACAGGGTCCTTGAATGTTAGTATGGTGTCCGCTCATTATCTTGAAAGCTATTTATCATGAAGTTTTCATATTTCTTATATTGATTGGTCATAACTATTAGATGACCCCATATTGTTTTTGGGTCACTAGTTCAAAGGTCAAGGTCACAGGGCCCTTAAATGTCAGAATGGTCTCCGCTCATTATCTTGAAAACTATTTAGCACAAAGTCTTCATATTTTTCTTTTTTCCATAACTTAACACTTCATGTACCCATTTATGGTAAGTTTCTATAACAAAAGAACCAATAATGTGAGTCAAGGGCTAGGAAGGGGAGCATATTTGTCGTTCAACATTTCTTGTTCTAATTTGTTTGCAGTTCACTGTGGAAGACTATGATTTTTAAATATTTTATGACAGAAAAATTATAATTGTGATGTCAACAATAGTCAGGTTAGACTTCATATTATTTGTGCTGTTTCACCTGACTTTACATTATTTGTAATGTACAGATTCATTAAAACTAAACTTGCAAATGTCAACTCATTGCTTTTGGCAGATGTCCCCTTTTCATAGGCCTTACATTAAAAATCTGCCATTTTCAGCAAATAGCACTAACTCACACAGCTTTTATATATTCAAATGCATGATGGCTGATTTGTTATTGTATTTTGACATAAATAACTGTTGGCATAAGCGTTATCCCTTTCATAAAGAGAAAAAATAATAAAGCTTGTTTTAATAAAAAGTATAAATTTGTAATGTATATATAATGTCAGTAGCACTCATATGTAACAGCTAGCATAAAACGAATTTATTGCTTTATGTTTGGACACCTAATCAATTACCAAACTTTAAATGGTACTGTATCCTTTCTGTACTGGTTTTCTTCCATGTTTCCGCATATGAAACCAGCACTGGTTATTTACAGGAAGGGGACTTGAGAACATTTCAGATAATTTACTTGTATAAGTTTTCACCAAAATAGAGCTTAAAAAATGCTGAAAGTAAAGGCTGTCCATGAATTTCAGACAAGTTTTTTTTAGCTCACCTGTCACTTTGTGACAGGGTGAGCTTTTGTGATCACTTATCGTCCGGCGTCCGTCCATCTGGTGTCCGTAAACTTTTACTTTAAATGACATCTCCTCATAAACCACTAAGCCAATTTCATCCAAACTTCACAGGAATGTTCCTTTGGTGGTCACCTTTGAAAATTGTTCAAAGAATTTTATTCCATGCAGAACTCTGGTTGCCGTGGCAACCAAAAGAAAATACTTTAAATATCTTCTTCTAAAAAGCCCCAAGAGCTAGAGCTTAAATATTTGGCATGAAACATCTTCTAGTGAGTGTCTACCAAGCTTGTTCAAATAAAAGCCCTGGGGTCAAAATTGGCCCCGCTCAAGGGGGGCATTGATTTTCCCTATATGCATATAGTAAAAACTTAAAAAATCTTCTTTTAGCTAAGATATTTAGCATGCAACATCTTCTAATAGGTGTTTTCCAAGTTTGTTCAAATAAAAGCCCTTGGGTCAAAATTAGCCCCGCCTCAGGGGGTCATTGATTTTCCCTATATGCATATACATGTTACAGTAGTAAAAACTTTAAAAAATCTTCTTTTAAAGAACCCAAGGAGCTAGAGCTAAGATAGTTAGCATGAAACATGTACTAATGGATGTCTACCAAGTTTGTTCCAATAAGAGCCCTGGGGTCAAAATTGGCCCGCCCTGGGGGACATTGATTTTCCTTATATGTGTATAGCAAAAACTTAAAAAATCTATTTTTGAAAAAAAAAACCAAATAGCTAGAGTTTAGATACTAAGCATGAAACATATTCTAGTGAGTGTCTACAAAGTTTGTTGAAATAAAAGCCCTGGGGTCAAAATTGGCCCCGCCCCAGGGAATTATTCATTTTCCTTATATGTGTATAGCAAAAACTTAAAAATCTTCTTTGAAAAAACTCAAATAGCTAGAGTTTCGATATTAAGCACGAAGCATTTTCTTGTGAGTGTCTACAAAGTTTGTTCAAATTAAAGCTCTGGGGTCAAAATTGGCCCCGCCCAGGGGGTCATTGATTTTCCTTATATGTGTATAGCAAAAACTTAAAAATCTTCTTTGAAAAAATCCGAATAGCTAGAGTTTAGATATTAAGCATGAAACATTTTCTAGTAAGTGTCTACAAAGATTGTTAAAATAAAAGCCCTGGGGTTAAAACTGGCCCTGCCCCATGTGTGTCATTGTTTTTGACTATATTTGTAAAGAAAACAATTTTAAAAAATCTTCTTTTAAAAAACCCAACGAGCTAGACCTTAAATGTTTAGCATGAAACATCTTCTAATGGGTGTCTACCAAATTTGTTCAAATAAAAGCCCTGGGGTTTAAATTGGCCCCGCTCCGGGGGCCTATATACAGGTGAGCGACTTCAGGGCCATCATGGCCCTCTTGTTTAAATTTTTGCCCCAAAAATAAAGTTGCTTTATTTCTGTCAAAAAGGCACAATTCACTTTATAGAAACAATAACATAACATTATTTATTACTTATTTCAGAATTTCAATCCCCAGAACCCATATTGTGAAGGTATACAAGGAATTATAGGGGCATATCAAAATGCTATAAGGAGTGTACAGCTATATGGACCAACCAATTTTGCTCCGTGTATAAACCATGTTGCAAGGTATTAAATATTACACTATTACATAACATATATATAACATATTTTACAGATTTTTTTTTATATCTCGGCAGTCAACCCACCTAACCTGCTGTCCTTGAACACAAACTGGTAATTACCAGTTTCTGAGTAAGTGACCTGTAAAATTTGTGGGTTAAACCTTTCTGATTGTGCATTTGAGCTTTTACATGAATTATGATAGATTATTTTGAAAACATTTTTTTACAATATAATTAAACGTTGTCCCAGAAATAGATGTTATAAGTGCAAAATTTGGTACTTTATGGAAAGGTCTTGTATTTTTCTTGATCTGAGTAGCATGTTTAAAGTAGTTATATAATGAATTTTTAAGCTACTTTTGTATATATAAAGTGACATTTTTTTATGTATTTAGTCATACTTCTGTCATAGAATAAAGGGCTAAACCTGCTATAGGTGCTTTGTAAAGTACACAGCATGACAGAGCTACATATTTGTGAGGTTTTCTACTTATTGACTTATTCAAATAAGAAAGCAAGATGATGATGAGTACAATTGGTTTGGAAGTCAGTGACCATGGCAATTAGGACAGTGATAGATCAGCATGAAGTTGATCTTTTAGCATATATTGCAGCTGTATTTCATTTCAAAAATGAATAATTTTTGCTGCAGATATGTAGCTTTATACACTTTAAAGGGAGGTTATCAGTTCTGAGTCAGAGGCAGTAAATTTATACTAAGCTAGTTCTGTTTTTATTGTAAAATTGGTTATATGACCTCAGGTCTATTGATATAAATTATTGTATTGATCAGGTGATATAAATTATTGTATTGATCAGGTGATATAAATTATTGTATTGATCAGGTTTGCAGCATCAAAGAGAGACGGGTCTTGTTATTTTGTACTGTTGATTATAACTGATGGTGTTATAACAGATATGCCTCAAACAATGCAGGCTATTGTAAATGTAAGTAATTTTATAAACTATACAGATTCTTGACTGGTTCTAGACAGGTTATATGACCTATTATAATACTGCACGTTTCTAACGTCGCTTTTCATTGGATAATCATGAAGTTATATAGTTTTATATACACGGCTGTTGTTGATTCATGAAGAAATCTTACTTTTTTCTCTAAAAAATGATGTTTGCTGTATTATAAATTCGTTATAAAGATTGTTGACATGCTATATGGCTGTATATAAACTGCTGTTTGCAATATAACCCTCGCCTAGCGGCTCTGGTTATATTTACAAACAGCTGTTTATAAAGGGCCATATAACCTGTCAACAATCTTTATAACTAATATTATAACTGGTTACAAAGTTATATAACCTAAATGTCTGAGAAAATGCAAAAGTATGAATGCTAGATGAATTAAGAAGCGAGAGACAGGTGTATAATGACAACATTAACTATTTACCACAAATCACACTGTCAAGTAACACGCTTAATTATCGAGCAATTTTAAATATCCTTATACATTTGTCTGTTCACAAATACAAATTCACGTTCATAATTCATTTATTTGTTTCAGCATACCATTTAAAATGATCACAAACACTTTTGTTTGTTTATGCTCATCACCAGTATAGCCTTATGTTCACAATCATATATCATGTTTGTTTTATGTTCACAATCATATATCATGTTTGTTTAATGTTCACAATCGTATATCATGTTTGTTTTATGTTCACAATCATTTGTTATATTTTTTTTATGTTCACAATCATATATCATGTTTGTTTTATGTTCACAATCATATGTCATTTTTGTTTTATGTTCACAATCATTTGTTATGTTTGTTTTATGTTCACAATCATAAATCATGTTTGTTTTATTTTCACAATCATATATCATGTTTGTTTTATGTTCACAATCATATATCATGTTTGTTTAATGTTCACAATCGTATATCATGTTTGTTTTATGTTCACTATCATTTATCATGTTTGCATTGCAGGCTTCAACACTGCCTATGTCAATTATCATTGTTGGGGTAGGAGATGCTGATTTTGAAGGTATATCATTGTTACACAAGTTGCTTAGCAACACTTTTTTTGTTTTACCATTATTTTGAGAATACAATGAATTGTAACTGATTTAAATAGAACAGGGATTTAAAAAATATTTGTGTACCTCACCTTAGCTATATGTGAGTTTTTAAGACCTAAGGAAGTCCCTGGTCCTCATTTTTTTGTCTGCATGGTAGCAGCTATAAATTTGATTTAATGTTAAACAAGCTTGCACAGTAGTTATATAACCAGTAGATTACAATTCTTTTTTTAAAAAACCTGATAAAATCATGAATGACAGAGTTGTGGTCCTTTAAAGGGCAAAAAAATGTAGGCATATTTTGTCTTGTCTGCTGGTCAAAAACTTCATTTTTAATTTGGTTCAAATCAAACTTGCACAGAACTTGTATATCCCATAGATCAGAGCTCCCCTTTTTAAAGCCGCCTGCAACCATAATGCATGACAGAGTTGTGGCGCTTTAAAGGTGTATTTCATGTTTTATCAAGTCTGATTTACCGGTTCATGGTGAACATTTTCCTGTGTTTCTGTCTTTATAACCATTTTACTCTTTGAAAATAAAGAAATGTTATCTTACAGCAATGAATGTACTAGATGGGGATGAGGTCAGATTATCATACCAGGGAAGGGTTGCTCAAAGAGATATTGTACAGGTACCTGCTTAATTCTTACACTAATACATTCATATCTGCTTAACTTCTGACACTGTATTTGTATAATGAATTGTTTTAATATGCTAACTCTTGAGAGAGACATACAGCGTATTGTTTCAACTAGTTTTTAGCTCGACTATTCGATTAGAATAAGTAGAGCTATTGCAGTCACCCGAGCGTCGGCGTCTGCGTCTGCGTCTGCGTAACCACTTATGTTGAAGTTTTTGTAATAGTTCAAATATTTTCAAAGTCCATTGACATATGGCTTTGAAACTTTGCACACTTGTTCACCATCATGACCCCAACCTGTAGACAGGAGGAGGTAACTCTATCAAGCATTTTGACAGAATTATGCCCCTTTTTCGACTTAGAATTTTTGTTAAAGTTTTTGTAATACCTCAAATATTTTCAAAGTCCATTGACATATGGCTTTGAAACTTTGCAAACTTGTTCACTATCATGACCCCAACTTGTAGACAAGAGGAGGTAAATCTATCAAGCATTTTGACAGAATTATGCCCCTTTTTTGACTTAGAATTTATGTTAAAGTTTTTGTAATACCTCAAATATTTTCAAAGTCCATTGACATATGGCTTTGAAACTTTGCACACTTGTTCACCATCATTACCCCAACCTGTAACAGGAGAAGGTAACTGTAACAAGCATTTTTTTTTTACTATCAAGCACTAAGAATAGCCGAGAGTTGCTGTCTTACCGACAGCTCTTGTTATCATAAGTAAAGCCCAATTCCCTGTTTTTGTCTGATGATACATCTTTTCTTGATACTGTTTTGTTTCTCTCATAGGATTATCAGTATTTAAGGTATTCAGGCTGTATTAAGTATAGCCTATCCATAAATTAATATTTCCTTACAATAATGAGATCATGGTGAAACACACCTTCTTAAGTGACTCGGGATCAAGTAAACTAAGACTAAGGTATTACAAAATTATTTACCCTATATTTGTTCATATTTAACCATTTCAATTAGATCCCTAATCACAGCAAATCACACACAATAACTTACTAAGATCCACAACATTTATGATTTCAGTTTGTTCCGATGAGAAATTTTGTGAACAGAAATGAACAAAACTTTCAGTTAGCACAAGCTGCCCTTGCTAAAGAAGTTCTGGCTGAGGTGCCGGACCAGGTTACGGCCTATATGAAACAAAACAGTATCTTCCCTAAACAACGTCAACCTGCCACAGCTCCCCCACCTTACCAGTCATAAAGTTAACATCACAAATAATCATGTAAGATATTATTTATAAATTACTATGTTTTCTTTAGTTTAAAAATATGTTGATAAAAAATATGGTTCGTATAAAAAAAACTCTGTGCTTATTTATTCTTTTCAGAAAAAAAACCAGACATTTTTTTGCTCCCCGAAAAATTTCGGGGGAGCATATAGTCGCCGGGTTGTCCGTCCTTCCGTCCGGCCGCACTACCGAATAGGGATAGATGGCCATCTAACTATAAACGGAATAAAGGAGAACAATAGAATTCATTCTGTAACAATAGAATAAGGGGCCATGGCCCTCTATTAAACAAAAGAAAATAACAATAGAAATGGCCCTTTATCTCAATTTAGTCGGAAGTCTGTCCGTAAGTACGTACGTCCTGAATTGTGTCCGGCCCATAACTTTGTTATTTGAAGTCGGATTTTACAACTATTTCACAGAAATGATCACCATATTGAGACGACATGTAGCACGCAACATTTGGGTCGCTACCTTGAAGGTCAGAGTGTTACCCTGTTCCACCCGTCCGTCATTCCGTCATCATCAGTTTCCGTTCATTATCTTAGTAATGGTTGCACACATTCAACTCAAATTTGACATATTGATATATCATGAGAAAATACAGCTCAAGTTCGAATTTGGTCATGGACCGATGATTTTTGACAGAGTAATGCCCCTTAATGAAATTTTTAGTTTCCGTTCATTATCTCCCCTTTAGTATTACATATTCAACTCAAATTTGACATATGGATACGTCAAAGAAATGTGCAGGTCAAGTTCGAATTTGGTCATGGTTCGATGATTTTTGGCAGATTTGTGCCCCTTTCACTTTGAAAATGATATGAAATTTTCAGTTTCCATTCATTATCTTTCCAACGGTACAACACATACAACTGAAATTTGACATATGGATACGTCAAAGTAATGTTCAGGTCATGTTCGAATTTTGTCATGGTTTGATGATTTTAGGCAGAGTTATGCGCCTTTCACTTTGAAAATAATATGAAATTTTCAGTTTCCATTCATTATCTCCCCAATGGTTGTACACATTCAACTCAAATTTGACATATTCATACATCTTAGGAATAAGCAGTTCAAGATGGAATTTGGTTGTGGTTCAATGATTTGGGGCAAAGTTTTCTCTCTTGAATGTTGGAAAAATTTGAATTTTTAGTTTCAGTACTCATAGTTTTGTAGAAATGTACATAGTCATTATTTTGGCTACACATAAGCAATATGCAATTTACAAAAGGTTAACACTGAATAGTTTCAGTACTTAACACTGAATAGTTTCAGCACCTTGAACTTTGTATTAAAATGGTTTGTGTTTGCATTGAACAGTTTTAAGGGCTTTGAACTTAAAATGAAAAAAATAGTTTGTGCAAACAAATTTGGAACAAAATATTGTAACATCTGAAACTTTGGCTGCATGCGGTGGCATCTGTAGCGTGATGACACATTTCTAGTCTAATGTTAAATTAAATTGTAAATATAACCATTCAAGTTTAAATGGTGAAAAATGGCAAAAGTACACAGCTTCTCATTGTGATATTTTTAATGGCAGGAATGTGGGAAAAATGGTGTTAGACCCTTTATAATTCGTAGAATGTCGGTTATCAAAATGAATGTTTTTGTTAACATTTTTCTGTTGATCTTTTCTTTCATAGTTTAATATTTATCTTGTTCCTTTTTTTTTACAGTTTGTACCATTTCGAGATTTTATCAGTCGTATGGGATCACAGAATCCCCAGATTTCACAAGCAGCATTAGCAAAAGAAGTTCTAGCAGAGGTTCCTGACCAGTTGGTGTCTTTTATGAAGATGAATGGAATCAAGCCTAGACAGACAATACCTGCTAGTGCTCCGCCTCCATACTCTTAATTAAAACACACTTAAACAATGTAGTTGTAATATACATAAAAAACATTGTGCAAAGTAGTGCACCTATTTTATACAAATATCATACATTATATAGTAATATATTAATGTTATTTGTAGATAAACTAAAATTGTATCAATTTGCATCAAGCATTGTAGAATTCTTTTCTATCAAAAGGAGTCTTACAAAACATATATAAATATTTATATACAGTGAAAACATGATGGGGATTTTTGAGATTCTCAGATTACTGAAAAATCAGCCATTAATTACACATAGCATGTCAATTATTACTTGAAGCTTCAATCTTTTACTTTTCCTAAAATCTTAGTACATTTTTCTCAGGCTTGATTTTGCTGAAATATTTTGGCTCATCTGGAGGCATGCTGCTTAAAAGACTGTGTTATAACTCTGTTGATACGTATATTCAGTATATGTTGCTTACATAATGCATTCAAAGTTTATAATGCATTGGCATTAGAGTTATGCTTTTTAAAGTTATGAGGCATTAGAGTTTACTTGCTTAAGTGTTTATGAGGCACAACTTTTATGATAAGAAGGACTGACAGGGTATTCACTTAATTCTTCAAACATGTCTTCTTTTACTAAAGTGGAGGTCACTTTCTAAAATGCAATAATGCTCTAGCATGGTTTTTAATTGAGTTATACCTTTTTGTAAAATTAGAAAATTCTTAGATACTGTATGTCTTGCAGAGTGTCATATAGAGATTTACATTTGCCGTCTTGGTGGAAATTGTACCTTATTTACAAAGACCCAGAACTCGAACATTGACTTTCACTCAATTATAATACCCCTTTAAAAAATATAAAAATTTCTGAACTATCCAAGATCTTTGTTGAGAATAGTCAAGTAAGTTTTTGATCTGACAGCTCTTGTTTATTACACGTGTTTATGCTCAAAGTTATTATGATGACTGTTCTATTTGTTACGAAATCTTAAATGCTGTTTTAATTACTGATGTAATAAAGGTCCTACATATTTACATACATTTGCATTCTTTTGATTCAGATAACAATATGTTCAATATGTGTACAAAAAGTATAAATTTACATCAACATGTTACAATGCTGTCTTTCAGCACATACATTTCTTTTTCACAAGTTTTAAATAATTCAACCGTGATTTAATAACAACATTTGCGCTTTTATACTACTCATTAATCAATAGATGAGGGGGTATATTTCATAAGGCCTTGAACATATCACATGTGTTAACCTATTAAAATATGACATTGAGACCTATATAACCAAGTTTTTCAAGGTCAGAATTTATCAAAAAGTTTAGAAATTACACTATATCATAAAATATCAAGACAGTTACATCAAAAGATGATATCTAGATATATATGTTTAAATTTTTTAAAAAGATATGCACATTATATATTTTATAATAGACTGCAATAAAAGTATAAAAGAATTTACCCTGCTGCTGAGACATTTAGTTTCATTCCTGATATATTTTAATTCTCCTGTTTATCATCATATATTTGCACAATGGTAAAACTTAGGGTCGCAACAATGGTGCTTAACTTTTTATAAATTCATGATAAATCTTTATAAATATTTAGTTATTTTTTGTGTTATTTTTACTGTTGTCTTCCTTTAAGATTAACAATTATAATTTTGACGTTATGTCATTTGCAAACTATAAACACGTCAATGTAAAAATTGATTCATTTTAACTGTAAACACTTCTGTTTTAGATATGTCATAAAAAGAATATTATATTCAAGTGGCTTCATTACTAACTTTATTTAACTGGTTCTATAAATTTTGAGTATTAAACCATCACTAATTTAATATCCTCTATTTACTATACCTTTTTGTTTCAAACTTGATGTAAGACAGTTCAATTATTTCAGTGTAAATCTGCCATCTTTTGATACAATGATCAATGATTATTTCATGATAAGTACAAAGATAAATTATCTGATAGTGCTCTTCTGATTGGATGACTCTACATTGTGTGTTATTTCTCTATATGATATGCTTTTTATACACAATAAATGTTATATTAACCTGACTTGTAATTCATAGATAACTTATATAGGCAACATTGTATCATTCATTTTTTGTATATAACTAAATTATATATATAAATGTTGGTTTTTACATACCTATATGTATTTATTGTGCAATAATATGTTTTTGTCCAGGTTGGTTTTGATTGAATTTACAGTAGTTAATAGGTAATTTTAAAGATATACTATGCTCATCCTCGGGTAAAATATTTTTATCACAGAAATTTATTGAAATCTATGAAATTCTAATTTGAAAGGGAGAACGAATAAAGTAGTAATTGAAAACTCCTTTCCATATCACAGTTCAAGTAATGTTGGTCTTTTTATAAAAAACTGGCAGTTTTTTAATAACGCATTATGTTCTTACTGTGACAACCTAAAGCGTGTAGAGATCAAAACATAACATATCTACTTTAATATGTAAAGTCAAACATGTTTGTTTTTAGCTCGACTTTTCTATGAAAAGGGGAGCTATCCTACTCGCCCCGGCGTCGGCGTCGGCGTTAGCGTTGGCGTCACACCTTGGTTAAGTTTTTCGTACCACCCCACTTTATTTCAGAAGTATTACAAGTATGGCTTTGAAACTTACCATACTTGTTCACCATCATAACCTCCATCTACAGACAAGAGTACATAACTCTGTCAAGGTTTTTGACAGAATTATGGCCCTTTTTTGACTTAGAAAGTGTATTGAGCTTGGTTAAGTTTTTTGTACCACCTCACTTTATTTCAAAACCATTGGAGGTATTGCTTTGAAACTGACCATACTTGTTTACCATCACGACCTTCATCAACAGACAAGAGGACATAACTCTGTCAAGGTTTTTGACAGAATTATGCCCCTTTTTGACTTAGAAAATACATTGAATATGGGTAAAATCCACTTATTGCCTTAACCCTTTGAGATATTGCTTTGAAACTTTTAATGCTATTTCACATCATTACCCCCATCTGTACGCAAGAGAAGGTAACTCTGTCAAGGATTTGTTTTAAAAATTAAGGCCTTTTATCGACTTAGAATCTTGGTTAAGTTTTTAGTACCAGTCCACTTTTTGACTGAACTGTTTGAGATATTAATTTGAAAGTTGGAATACTTGTTTACAATCATGATTCCCAAACATGTCCAGGAGAAGGTAATTCTGTCAAAGATTTTATTTGAATTATGGCCATTGTTCACTTTAAAAATACAGAGATTCTTGTATTGCCTTTTACTGCAAAAACTTTTTTTATTGGCAAGCAATAAAAAAGTCGAGCGCGCTGTCTTACGGACAGCTCTTGTTTGTTTATAAAGTGACTGTGTGGCAATTATCAGTATTTTCAGACATCAAATTTGAGCATAGTATAGCTCTATTATGTTTAGTAAATTCTGCCTACAAAACAATTATCATTCTTATTATAGCTTTCTCATTTGGACTTTAATTTATCTGAATATTTTTGATAGTTAAATTCATTTTAGAAAATATTGGCCTTATGTATTCCTTTTTATATGTTATATGAGTGAAAAAGTTTAAAAAATTAGCAAATAAAACACATTTAAAATAACTTAAAATCAAAAAAAATTTGTTTCTACATTTTTCATAATTTTTTTTTAAAGATATGAATGAAATGAGAAAATGTATGCAAATAAACACACTTTTAATTCTTATTATTTATTTTTCATTAACTTTGAACAATATACTTTTTAAAAGAAATGAGATTGATTTAAAGATGTGAACAGAATTAGATTGATTTATCTGAACCAATATTTAACAGACATATTCTTTTCTGACTATTGATATGTTGTAGTAAAATATTTTCCTTTTGAACAAAATAATTGTTCTGTTTATTACTTTACAGTAGGAAACATAATTTTACTTTTGAATGTTATGCTGTTAGGTATACTGGTTAATTTTTGAAACGTCTCTATTTTATATTCTTTTAATTTGTTAGATTGGTTTAAACTAATTTCCCCATGTAAAATCATTCATATTACATTGACATTGTCTTTTTGTAATCATTAGATTTTAGTCTGTAATAAATTGTCACTTTTGTTATCGTGATGTTATATTGAATAATATGGTAATGTTTTCTTTGGTACACATTTGTAAAACATATATTCATACATACAGTGTATATTTATTTTATTAATTTACTAGCCATGTATTGTTGTAAGTTGTTTGTGTATGAACTATCTTTGTTTATAGCAAATGGCATACATATTTAACAACAAGAAATGTAATTATCTTTGAAGAGCAGTTGACTATAATTAAGCAAATCTTTCTCTCAAGTTAACCTTGATTTACACGAAAGCTTGCTCTGTGGTGCACTGTAAACCCTGGCACTTCAACGCTGTAAGATGGAATCCTGTTCGGAAATGAGATTCTTTTATGTCGGGAACCTCTCTATCAAGCTAATTGAAGCCTTCTGGCTCTACTGTGTTGCCCGCCTTTGTCTGCAGTAATGCGTTGATGGATACCGGAGATTTAATTAAGATTAATGGAAAATAGATAGATTTACCTCTACCAAAAACATTACATGTATTGCTTAATCATAATATTCTTTACATTTTGCACGGTTTTACAGGGAGAGATATTTCGACTTTAATTTCTGTAATTATCAAATATACTATAATATACTAAACTGGCTTTGTTTTGTTTATTTGCTCATACTTTAAATTTCGTATATACTAAGAACACCATGTATGATCCCTTGTTTGATTTTACAGCAATATTTTAATCTACGAAATATATCTAAAACAGTTATAATTTATGTTTTGCTGAATAAGTTTTTAACCATATATAGCAGAAGTTAAAATGGAGTAAAATACAGGATGTAAACTAGGGTTTTTATAAAAAAAAAGTTCAGACAGATAAGTAGATTAAACTTGGACAAAACAGCTGATGCACAGTGTAGGATAAATACAGATATTTGTGGTATTTGATGGCTAAATGACGTTACTTCATGATCATATTGTGAAAAATGCCCGTTTTCATTGAAAAGCCTCCTGTAACAAGTTCAAACTGCCATGAAACTATGAAAAATGCTTCAATATTGATGAAACTTGGCACAATGTCGACTGGACTAGCCTCTGTAACATCATGCTCAATCTTAAATTTCCTGTTAACATGGCAACGGGGGACGTCCCAAAATTGCCAAAATTACTATTTTGCATTGGGTTCAAAACTGATTTCAAAGTGCTGCAATTTCGCAATGGATTGAGATAGAGTAAAAGGCTTTTCAGCGTTGGTTACACGTTACTTTATGATCGACCTGAGGCCATTTGTAGCCTGTCACATGTCCAAAATTTTCTTGGCGACGAGGGGGATGCCATTCCCTTCAAATCGCAGAAACATAAGGGGCACAACCTCCTTCTGGCAACCCCCTTATGTACTTTTTTGATAGGGGGCGGCGCCGAAAAAGTGATAATTTTTTTATCAACATTTCACAAACGAAAATGGTGTTTGGGGCGTAAATACGGCATTTTTTCACTATTTTAGGCCTTGGTTTAAACATACTTATTTAAGCTCGATTGCGAAACAAGTTCTTGCAACTTATATTAATCACTTTCGAGTCCGCTTCCTGGAACCAACCAGTACTGGTGTCATATGGAGAAACATGGTCGTGACCCGAGTAGGGCTCGAACCCATGATCTCTGGGTTGAGAGGCAGACACCTTAACCACTAGGCCACTGCTCCCCTTTTAGGCCTTAAAAAGCAGGGGGGTCGAAAAGCCGTCAACACACGTCTATGAGGTAAAGGGTTAGGGTTACGATCGTTGACTTCAAACCACTTGCCCTCACCGCTGCGGGTTCGAATCACAACAGGACCCTTGGATGTTAGGAAGCTATCCAGCTAGCTTACGGAACGTCGGTGGTTCTACTCAGGTGGCCGTTTGTGCCTGAAATAATGCACGGAAGGGCACCTGAGGTCTTCCTGCACCAGTAAAGCTGGTAAACGTCGCCATATGACCTATACTGTGTCGGTGTTACGTAAAAATCCAGAGACATAGATGTTATCTATGTCTCTGAAAACTCCAATCAATCAAACAAACAAATCACGTTTTAAGTAGGGCCTGGAATATTTTATTCGAATATTCAAAACACTACCGAACATTCAAAAGGGAAAAACAAACGATTTTTTT